GTATTATTTAGCCCGGTGGCGCAGTGGGTTAAACCCCTGTGCTGGCAGGACTCAAGACCGACAGGTCGCAGGTTTGAATCCGGGGAGAACGCGGATGAGCTCCCTCTGTCAGCTTCAGCTCCCCATGCGGGGACATGAGAGAAGCCTCCCACGAGGATGGTAAAACATCAGAAACATCCGGGCGTCCCCTGGGCAACATCCTTGCAGACGGCCAATTCTCTCACACCAGAAGCGACTTGCAGTTTCTCAAAACAGAAAAAAGTATCAATTTAGTGTTCAAAAACATGCAAATGTGAGTAGGTCAATAGGTATCACTCCGGCGGGAAGGTAACAGCACTCCATGCAGTCATGCTGGCCACATGACCTTGGAGGTGTCTACGGACAACGCCGGCTCTTTGGCTTAGAAATGGAGATGAGCACCAACCCCCAGAGTCAGACACAACTGGACTTAATGTCAGGGGAAAGCTTTTACCTTAACTAGTGATTAGAAAGGACTTACTTTAAAAAATATTTCATGAAATCCTGTTCAGACTTCATCCATGGCCTCACACCTTTAAAAATTGGAATTGCGCAGTTGCATAACAACCATATCCTCCGGCTGTTGCTGGTGTATTATAGCACAACCAACAAAGTGTCCACACTGATGGGCAATATTGTGGAATATGTGCCTCAGCGGAATGTGCATTAACGCCCAATATGCACCAATGTGCCTTGTGCACGTTGCGTACTAATGCACCTGGTGTGGCAATGCAATAAATTGTGCATCATTGGAATGTGCATCGGCAACCAATATGCATCAATGTGCCTTGTGCACATTGCGTACTAATGCACCTGGTGTGGCAATGCAATAAAATGCAATGCTATGAATTTCGCATTAATACAAATTGTGCTCCGAGGAGCTTTGGTCCCAGTCCAGGGGAGATTATTGATCTGAACTAACATTATTTGTTAAATAAGCTTTTCCAATGCTGTACTGTCAAGGTTGTAAAGATTTCTGCATTCATCTGGTGTGTTGCATATAAGACAGGCATAGGTAAGCTTCAGCCCTCCAGGTGTTTTGGACTTCAACTCCCACAATTCCTAACAGCCGGCAGGCTGTTAGGAATTGTGGGAGTTGCAGTCCAAAACACCTGGAGGGCCGAATGCCTGATCTAAAGTCTCCTGGGCTGGCTCTCCATATTAGAGCACTTCCTACCTATTTCCTACCTATTTCTCTCCCATTTCTTCATATATCTTCAAAGACCGTTCCACCTCTCCAAACAGGTGGTCATGGTGGTTGTTAAGGGGACAAAGGAGGGGATAGCCAAAAAAACAAAGGTTGTATACCTTTCGCTTGGCTTTTCAGTCTTATCTCCTTGCCACTTTGGCTAGTCTGAGTTCCTCGCTCATTTCAGCCTCCACACATATTTTTTGCATTTTGCATTTATTTAAAGGAATGGAACAGATTCATATGAGCAAAAGACCAAGTTGTTGTTAGTTTTCCAGACTGTATGGCCGTGTTCCAGAAGCATTCTCTCCTAATGTTTCACCCACATCTATGGTAGGCATCCTCAGGATTTCTGAGGTCTGTTGGAAAATAGGCAAGTGGGGTTTACATATCTGTGGAATAATATCCAGAGTGGGAGAAAGAACTCTTGTCTGCTGGAGGAAAGTGTAAATGCTGCAATTGTCCACTTTGATTAGCATTGAATGGCCTTGCAGCTTCAAAGCCTAGCTGACTGCTGCCTGGGGGAATCCTTTGATGCACTTTCTCCCATCCTAAACTGAAAGCCTTACCCCACTGTTTATCCTTTTTGGGGTCCCCTCAAATACATATTTTCTATTCCTAGCTCATCTAGGGCTTTATCATTTTGCCTCGTCCATTTGGCCTGCCCATTCTGTTCGATTTTATATTGTGTTAATTGGCTTTATTTATTTTATTTTGCTACTGTATGTATTTTATTCTGATGTAATTTTTTGTTGTCTGCATTCTGTATTTCATCGTGCTGTATGGTATGTTTGGGCTTGGCCTCATGTTAGCCACCGTGAGTCCACTTTGGGAAGATGGTGGCGGGGTATAAGTAAAGATTATTATTTAGAATCCAAGTTGGAATACTACAGTGCACTCTATGTGGGGCTGCCTTTGAAGATGGCCCAGAAACTACAACTGGTGCAAAGGTCAGCAGCCAGGTTGCTAACTGGATTTATTATTATTATTATTATTATTATTATTATTATTATTATTATTATTATTATTATTATTTGAAACACAACAAGATGAGTCCACAGCAGACACGATCACTCTGCTGGCTGTTGTATTGGATCACACGTCGGACACTTTCCAAGAGTCTAGGACTGTGTGATGTATCGGAGAATAATGAGTGCAGATCCCAGTAAGGGGGCCTTTTGCAGCTGGCAGATGGTAATCTTGTCAGCGCCGAGTGTGTTTAAGTGCAGGCCAAGGTCTTTAGGCACTGCACCCAGTGTGCCGATCACCACTGGGAACACTTTTACTGGCTTGTGCCAGAGTCTTTGCAGTTCAATCTTTAAATCCTCATATCATGTCAGCTTTTCCTGTTATTTCTCTGCAATCCTGCTGTAACCTGGGATTGCGACATCGACAAGCCATACTTTGTTTTTTAACACGATTGTGAGGTCAGGAGTCTTGTGCTCCAGAACTCTGTCTGAGTCCGGAAGTCCCAGAGGAGTTTGGCATGCTCATTCTCTGGAACTTTTTCCGGCTTGTGATCCCACCAGTTTTTTGTCGCAGGCAGATGGTCTTTGTGGCATGAGTTTCAATGAATCATCTGTGCCTCTGTGCGATCTTCTTGCAGCAGCTCAGAATGGGATCTATTCTTTCATCTGCTTCCTTGTAGAGTCTACACTTGGGATCTGTTGCCGACTTTTCAGTTCTGGCTTTGATGGCCTTGGTTCGAATGGCTTGTTCTTGGGCTGCCAGAATCAGGCCCTCCTTTGTCTCCTTTTTCAAAGTTCCATTTGTGAGCCACAGCCATGTTTTTTTCTTTGTCAATTTGACTCTCGATTTTTCCCCAGGAAATAGGTGAACGTTGCCACTGACCACCTAGATTAGCACTGAATGGCCTTGCTATGTAATCAAGGTTGCCAATGGCAACATTCACAGACAAGAGTTCTTTCTCCCACCCTGGACATTATTCCACAGATAGATAAACCCCACTTGCCTAGTTTCCAATAGATCTCACTTTCTGACTTTAAGGTTTCTAATGCTGATAATCTTTTTAAAAGGAGGGGGGAAAAGATTATTTATTTATTTATTTACAGTATTTATATTCCACCCTTCTCACTCTGCAGGGGACTGAGGGCGGATTACAATGTACGCATACATGGCAAACATTCAATGCCAATTAGACATACAACGTATACAGACATACACAGAGGCTATTTAACTTTTTCTGGCCGCCGGGGAGCTGTCGCTTTCATCGTCCATCTGCGACGCTGATGAAGTACTTCCGCATTCCCCGCATGCTTCCCCGCTGGAATGCTTTGCTGGAGTCTTCTTTATGGCCTCATAAATTGGTTAATTAGCCTCCCCACACATAGGTGGTACCTAATTTTCCTACTTGACAGATTTTTTTTTTGTCATCTCAGGAGTGACTCCTGGTGTGAGAGAATTGGCTGTCTGCAAGGACGTTGCCCAGGGCATGGCCAGATGATTTGATGTTTTTATCATCCTTGTGGGAGGCTTCTCTCATGTCCTCGCATGAGCAGCTGGAGCTGATAGAGAGAGCTCATCTGCCTCTCCCCGGATTCGAACCTGCGACCTGTCGGTCTTCAGTCCTGCCGGCACAGGGGTTTAACCCACTGTGCCACCGGGGGCTCCATTACTTGACAGATGCAACTGTCTTTTGGGTTGCAAAGGCCGACAACAAGCTACACAAAATTGGCCGGAAGCTCACTCCGACCCAGGCTGGCTTCGAACTCAAAGTGATCTTAATGCAGCCGACACTCAGCCAGCTGCGCCACAATCCCGGTGGCAGGATTTGACTTTGATGACAGAAATCCGAAGAATAAAGAATGATTGCACATCTGAGGATGATTGTCATAGATGGAGGTGAAATGTCAGGAGAGAATGCTTCTGGAACATGTCCATATAGCCCGGAAAACTCACAGCAACCCAGTGATTCCAGCCATGAAAGCCTGCGACAACACATTGTGCAAAAGATCATTTGTACCACCTCGTTGGGAGAGTGGAAGTGTCCTTTACGTTGGGCCACCCACTGAAACGCCTTAGCCTATTTCTATTGCCTTCCCTCGAAAACACTTCTTCTGTATTGTCTAGGCTACACCTTCCAGTGTGTCCTGCTCTTGAGCTCCTCAATATGTGTTGCCACTTTGGAAAGAAGGAGAGAAGGGGATCAATCTCTTTAAAGAAGAAGAAGAAGAAGAGTCTTGTCCACCCTGCAAATTAAATAATTACATTGCTTATGAATAATATCAGGTCAGTTGTAGTTTTTTTCAGGCTATATGGCCATGGTCTAGAGGCATTCTCTCCTGACGTTTCGCCTGCATCTATGGCAAGCATCCTCAGAGGTAGTGAGGTCTGTTGGAACTATAAAAAAGGGTTTATATATCTGTGAAATGACCAGGGTGGGACAAAGGACTCTTTAGTGAGGTCTGTTGGAACTAGGAAAAAGTTTTTATATATCTGTGGAATGACCAGGGTGGGACAAAGGACTCTTGTCTGCTGGAGCTAGGTGTGAATGTTTCAACTGACCACCTTGATTAGCATTTGATGGCCTGGCAGTGCCTGGAGCAATCTTTTGTTGAGAGGTGATTAGATGTCCTTGTTTGTTTCCTCTCTGTTGTTGTGCTGTTCTAATCTAATCACCTCTCAACAAAAGATTGCTCCAGGCACTGCCAGGCAATCAATGCTAATCAAGATGGTCAGTTGAAACATTCACACCTAGCTCCAGCAGACAAGAGTCTTTGTCCCACCCTGGTCATTCCACAGATATATAAACCCTTTTTCTAGTTCCAACAGACCTCACTACCTCTGAGGATGCTTGCCATAGATGCAGGCAAAACGTCAGGAGAGAATGCCTCTAGACCATGGCCATATAGCCCGAAAAAACCTACAACAACCCAGTGATTCCGGCCATGAAAGCCTTCGACAATACAATATCAGGTCACTCCCTTCCACGCCCACAACAAAAATAACACTCTGCTTTCATTATTTAACTTAACCCTCGCCCTCCTGTGCCCCTCCCCGTCCCCTCCCCTCCCCTCCTAAGGCACAAAGATATTTGGATCCAGGCAGTGAGTAGAAAATAAAATAAAAATGCTGGAATCCCAATGGCTTTTGCTTTGCTGTCTTTTCCCTCCCTCCCTCCTTCCCTCTTTTTTTGTTTTTGTTTTTGTTTTTTACATATACACAACTTGGATTTTTTTCTTTAATATATTTTTTTCCTTATATAACAACAACAACAACAACAAAAAGCAACAAGCGTCTGTTAATATAACTGTTCCATAAATTTTTTATCTCTCTCTTTCTCTCTCTCTCTCAATCTCTCTCTCTCGTTCTCTCTTTCTGTGTCTTATCTCTTGCTCTCCTTCCTTTTAATGGGTGGTTCTCTGTGCCATTCCGCCATTGGTCCTCGATCGAGTCCGTGGGCTTCTCTTATGTAGTCTGCGCTTATAGGTGGAGGCTGTGGAAGGGGAACGAGAAGAAAAGGCACCTTGTTACCCGGGGGTTGGAGGACACAGAGGCTTTGCTTGTCCTGAGCTGGCTTGACCAAGGTTCCCTCTCCTCCCACCTCTCTGGAAAAACACTGCCGAGGCAACAGCATGATGTTTCTCCGCCCGGCTGTGTTGAACATCCCATGGCGCCAGCCCGCTTGCCACTGCACAATTGCGCTTTCTCTCACCTCGGACGCTCTGGGGTCTGAGGAATCAGCTAGGTTTTCTTTTCCAGGGCATTTTGAATGTAGCAGGCTCTGCCTTGTTCCACCCCCAGGTAAAGAGAACAGGGGTGGGGGTCTCGGGAGGTTCCAGGGACAGTTATGGCACTATGTGGGAGGGCAGTAAATGTGCCATTTCTCATAATGGCTGAGATATTGCCACCATGATGACCCATGACATCCAGGATCAGCTTCCCTATGGCTTCTCAACCTGACTGAGATATTGCCACCATGATGTCCCATGACATCCAGGATCAGCTTCCCTATGGCTTCTCAACCTGACTGAGATATTGCCACCATGATGACCCATGACATCCAGGATCAGCTTCCCTATGGCTTCTCAACCTGACTGAGATATTGCCACCATGATGACCCATGACATCCAGGATCAGCTTCCCTATGGCTTCTCAACCTGACTGAGATATTGCCACCATGATGACCCATGACATCCAGGATCAGCTTCCCTATGGCTTCTCATCCTGACTGAGATATTGCCACCATGATGGCCCATGACATCCAGGATCAGCTTCCCTATGGCTTCTCAACCTGACTGAGATATTGCCACCATGATGACCCATGACATCCAGGATCAGCTTCCCTATGGCTTCTCATCCTGACTGAGATATTGCCACCATGATGGCCCATGACATCCAGGATCAGCTTCCCTATGGCTTCTCATCCTGACTGAGATATTGCCACCATAATGACCCATGACATCCAGGATCAGCTTCCCTATGGCTTCTCATCCTGACTGAGATATTGCCACCATGATGTCCCATGACATCCAGGATCAGCTTCCCTATGGCTTCTCAACCTGACTGAGATATTGCCACCATGATGACCCATGACATCCAGGATCAGCTTCCCTATGGCTTCTCAACCTGACTGAGATATTGCCACCATGATGACCCATGACATCCAGGATCAGCTTCCCTATGGCTTCTCAACCTGACTGAGATATTGCCACCATGATGACCCATGACATCCAGGATCAGCTTCCCTATGGCTTCTCAACCTGACTGAGATATTGCCACCATGATGACCCATGACATCCGGTATCAGCTTCCCTATGGCTTCTCAACCTGACTGAGATATTGCCACCATGATGGCCCATGACATCCGGTATCAGCTTCCCTATGGCTTCTCAACCTGACTGAGATATTGCCACCATGATGGCCCATGACATCCAGGATCAGCTTCCCTATGGCTTCTCAACCTGACTGAGATATTGCCACCATGATGACCCATGACATCCAGGATCAGCTTCCCTATGGCTTCTCAACCTGACTGAGATATTGCCACCATGATGACCCATGACATCCAGGATCAGCTTCCCTATGGCTTCTCAACCTGACTGAGATATTGCCACCATGATGACCCATGACATCCGGTATCAGCTTCCCTATGGCTTCTCAACCTGACTGAGATATTGCCACCATGATGGCCCATGACATCCAGGATCAGCTTCCCTATGGCTTCTCAACCTGACTGAGATATTGCCACCATGATGACCCATGACATCCAGTATCAGCTTCCCTATGGCTTCTCAACCTGACTGAGATATTGCCACCATGATGACCCATGACATCCAGGATCAGCTTCCCTATGGCTTCTCAACCTGACTGAGATATTGCCACCATGATGACCCATGACATCCGGTATCAGCTTCCCTATGGCTTCTCAACCTGACTGAGATATTGTCACTAGGATGACCTATGACATCCAGGATCAGCTTCCCTATGGCTTCTCAACCTGACTGAGATATTGTCACTAGGATGACCTATGACATCCAGTATCAGCTTCCCTATGGCTTCTCAACCTGACTGAGATATTGCCACCATGATGACCCATGACATCCAGGATCAGCTTCCCTATGGCTTCTCAACCTGACTGAGATATTGCCACCATGATGACCCATGACATCCAGGATCAGCTTCCCTATGGCTTCTCAACCTGACTGAGATATTGTCACTAGGATGACCTATGACATCCAGGATCAGCTTCCCTATGGCTTCTCAACCTGACTGAGATATTGCCACCATGATGACCCATGACATCCAGGATCAGCTTCCCTATGGCTTCTCAACCTGACTGAGATATTGTCACTAGGATGACCTATGACATCCAGGATCAGCTTCCCTATGGCTTCTCAACCTGACTGAGATATTGCCACCATGATGACCCATGACATCCAGGATCAGCTTCCCTATGGCTTCTCAACCTATGGGTCCCCAGATGTTTTGGCCTTCAACTCCCAGAAATCCTAACAGTTGGTAAACTGGCTGGAATTTCTGGAAGTTGTAGGCCAAAACACCTGGGGGGCACATAGATTGAGAACCACTGGTTTGGGCCACCAGAGAAGCTTTCTTCCAAGTATCACGGGTAAATACTCAAACGTATCTCCTCCTATGAACCAGTTAGGACATTAAGATCATCTGTGGAGGCCCTGCTCTCGGTCCCGCCAGCATCACAAGCATTGAAATTGCTACTGTTAACCGCTTGAGTCGCCTAAGGGCTGAGAAAAGTGGTATATAAATGAAGTAAGTAAATAAATAAATAATAAATATCTGGTGGCCCAACAATGGAATATAATCTCCATGGAAGGAAGAGGGGCAGACCAAGGGCAAGATGGATGGATGGCATCCTTGAAGTGACTGGACTGACCTTGAAAGAGCTGGGGGTGGTGACGGCCGACAGGGAGCTCTGGCATGGGCTGGTCATGAGGTCACGAAGAGTCAGAAGCGACTGAACAAATGAACAACAAGAAGCTCTGGGTGGAATCCTGGTAATGTTATACACAAATGTTACGTCAGCCTTACACTTAGCACAGCAGGTTAACCACCAGCTGCAGTAAATCTTGCCAACCAACAGTTCGAAGACTGGGTTGGGATGAGTTCCTGGCTAGGCCCGTAGCCAGGATTTTGATTTGAGGGGGGGGGGGGCTGAGTTCGATTCGGGGGGGGGGGGCTGAGTCTGAGAGAAAGAGGGTCTACCCTAGCAAACCTTTTGTATTGTTACCCCAATACCCCCATGCATATGGGATATATTGAGCATGGTGATCAGATCATGATATGAATAAACATAACAGTTTAAATAATGTACCAGTAAGGCCTTCTCGTGGACCACCATGAGAATTTCGGGGGGGGGGGGGCTGAAGCCCCTCGAGCCCCCCCCCTCCCTGGCTACATGCCTGCTCCTGGCTGTCAGCCCAGCTCACTGCCCAATAGTTTGAAGACTGGGTCGAGGTGAGCTCCTAGTTGACAGCCCAGCTCACTGCCCGCCTAGCAGATTGAAAGCAGCAATGTGAATAAATAAATATGTAATGCATTAAAGTGGGGAGGTTTATAGGTACCTCATAAGGAACACCTCAGCAAGCGAGAGTCCAAAAGTGGCAGGCTCAAACCCAGAACCTCAATCAATGGCTGATATCAGATGAGAGATTCCCTCCTGGGCACACAGAAAACTGGGCGACTTGGAAGGCACTGTGCTCTGGCACCACGAGATGCAGAGCCAACCTCAAGAAATGGGGCCACAAAGTGGAATCCACAACATGCGAGTGTGGAGAAGAGCAAACCACTGACCACCTGCTGCAATGCAACCTGAGCCCTACCACATGCACAATGGAGGACCTTCTTGGAGCAACACCAGAGGCACTCCAAGGGGCCAGATACTGGTCAAAGGACATTTAATCAACTACCAAACTTGCAAACTCTGTGTATTGTCTGTTTGTTAAAAATTTGTTAAAAATATAATACAATTGTCTGGTTGATACTGACACGATAAATAAATAAGGAATGCCAGAAAAATGCCAGCGATTCAATCAAAGGAGGAAGCTTATGAACAAAAAAGCTCTTCAGCAGGAAAGATGGAGCGACAGCACCCCCCTCTGGCTGAAACCGAGCACAGCCTCCAAGACGTCAAAGATGGGAAAGCCTATATATACCTCTATCTATGTATAAGTTGTTTGTCTTGTCATTGTATGATTGGCATTGAATGTTTATATGTGTTCTGTGATCTGCTCTGAGTCCCCTTTGGGGTGAGAAGGGCAGAATATAAATACTGTAAATAAAGAAATATGTCTCCTTTTTGGTCAGCTTGGAGGTGGATATTCTCTTCCTCTCTTTCCTTTCTCTGACTATCCTGTGCCTAGTGAGAACAGTGAGAGAACTGGAAAAGCATCTGGCTATGTCTTTGCAACTAGGCGTGAAGTGATGACATCATCTACTAGGAGGAGCTCTGGTAGCACTCAGCAGTAGGCCTGGGTAACAACGGAAAAATTTGTTTCTAAAATCGATTTGTATTTGGGGTTTTTTTTGTTTCGATATTTAAAATAATTACAAAATTTTCCTTTTAAAAAGTTCGATATTTACGAAATTTCGTAAATGGTAAAAAATTAACGAATCGATTTCCGAAACAATAACGAATCGATTCGTTAATGGCGGACGCGACCGCGAAATACGCTAAAAAACCTCCAAAACCTTCTGAAGCTTCCCTCTCCCTCTGTTGTTGACTGTTGGGGTGATATTATAATTTTTTTTCACTAATTAAACCATAAAACTGGCCCAGACATGCGGAAATAATAACGAAACGACCTCAAAACAATAACGAAACGAATACAATATCGAAATACGAAGCATTTACAAAACGTTTTTGAAAATTCGTTTTTTAATAATTGCTCCAGAATGGTTCGTTATCGTTTTGTAATTGAAAAATTAACGAATTATTAACGAATTACGAATTAACGAAATGAAACCGCCCAGCCCTACTCAGCAGACCAGAAGATGAAGTCATCCTTTTGCATCTAGCTGTGAGTCCATAGCCAGATGCTTCACCAAACATCTGCTATTAACACAAGGCAAAAAAAGGGAAGTGGGCATGAAATCTCTCTATTATAGTCCAGGGATTAATCAATAGTTTGTTGGTTAATCACAATTCCACTTATCCAACTATTACACAAAGATGGACCATATACAATTAAGGCCATTGTCCCTTTACTGTGGTTTCTGCTTTTCTTTGACATGATGCCATTTTTGGGATCTAAAACTGCCTCAAGTATTTCATTCTTTGAACCATAGCTATGCAACGTTCTCATATCCACACTGATGAAGAAGCAAGCTAGAAGGAGCAACACACGTCACATCTCTCGCTAGGAAGGAGTCTAATTTTCCTGGCTGCTTTTGGGGAGAGGTTGCTGGCTTTTCTTCTTGCCCCACAAATCCCTTCCCTGTCTGCCCCAGTCTTCAAAAATCCAGGGAGGATTTGCAGAAATGGCTGAATTCCGCCTCTCAGCCAAGAAGAACTTGCCAACTGTTGACACTGCTATTTAATGGAAGTGCCAGAGCTGAATTTCCAGCTGGCCCCTGCAATCCTACCTGGGACAGATTCAAACTACTGAACCTTGCAACACTTCTAAGCACATTTCCATTTTAATCTAGCCTATTTTTCAGTATCAAACTGAATCATCTGATAATTCTTAATAGGAGAGAGAAAGTTAGAAAAGAAGACCATCTTAGAATCTTAGAACCCGACATAAGTATTATTATTTGCATTGCAAACTAATGAAGCAAAATCACATTGCTGAAATAAAAGGGTCTGTTAGACGTATAGAAATCGTGCACAGGGCACCAATTCTTACATTGCAGAAGAAGAGAAGAAGGGACAACCTTGGATTATCTCCTTCTTTAATGTTTATATTATTTTAATTAATTAATTAGTTTTTATTTACGACATTTATATGCTGCCCTTCTCACTCCGAAGGGGACTCAGAGCGGCTTGCAAGGTATATATTACATACAATATATTATATTACATACAATATATTATATTATTAGCATAGTACAATATCAGCATTAAACATTGCTATATTGCACCATACCACTATATCGTAACATTATTAGTAATATTACATCTATATAAATAAAAATGTAACTACAAGAGAGGAGATTCCATCTGAACACGAGGAAGAACTTCCTGATTGTGAGAGCTGTTCAGCAGTGGAACTCTCTGCCCTGGATTGTGGTGGAGGCTCCTTCTTTGGAAGCTTTTAAACAGAGGCTGGATGGCCATCTGTCAGGGGTGATTTGAATCCAATATTCCTGCTTCTTGGCAGAATGGGGTTGGACTGGATGATGGCCCAGGAGGTCTTTTCCAGCTCTATGATTCTATGATTCTAATGTTCGTTTGTGGGATTAACAGAACTCAAAAACCACTGGATGAATTGACATGAAATTTGGACACAATACACCTAACAGTCCAATGAGTGTCCATCACCCATAAACACACGCACACACACACATATACACACAAAACCCCAGCGAATAGACTTAAAAACCCCCCAAATACACCATATATACATATACACATACACTTATATACATGTGCACAGCACACATTCATACACACACATATATGCACAAGCACACACAAATATACACATATACACACACACATACATATACATACACACATATATACATATACACATATGCACATATACATGCACACATGTTGTTGTTCTTTCGTTCAGTCGTCTCCGACTCTTCGTGACCTCATGGACCAGCCCACGCCAGAGCTCCCTGTCGGCCGTCACCACCCCCAGCTCCTTCAAGGTCAGTCCAGTCACTTCAAGGATGCCATCCATCCCTCTTCCTTTTGCCTTCCACTTTCCCCAGCATAATTGTCTTCTCTAGGCTTTCCTGTCTCCTCATGATGTGGCCAAAGTACTTCAACTTTGTCTCTAGTATCCTTCTAGTATCCATGCACACATACATATATACATATACATATACACATATACACATGCACACATATACACAATATGAATGTATACATATAAACACACAAATATACAAATATATACACACATATATACACCCACACACATATATGTACACACGCAAACACACATATATACACAAATATATACACACATACACACACACACAAAACACATAATAATGGCTTCAAACAACAGGAAAGGAGATTCCACCTGAACATTAGGAAGAACTTCTTAAAAGTGAGAGCTGTTCAGCAGTGGAACTCTCTGCCCTGGAGTGTGGTGGAGGCTCCTTCTTTGGAGGCTTTTAAACAGAGGCTGGGTGGCTATCTGTCAGGGGTGCTTTGAGTGTGATTTTCCTGCTTCTTGGCAGAAAGGGATTGGACTGGATGGCTCACAAGGTCTCTTCCAACTCTGTGATTCTACTGAACAGCATTTGGGCCGGTCTGTTTAGCAAGTGGGAAGGCATTTGCATGGGTTCTTCATCGGGCCAAGCTTACTTGTCTGAACGCATCTCCCTCTACGTTTTGCCTCACAGTTTAAGATCATCTGGGGAGGCCCTGTTCTCATTCCTACCAGAGTCGCAAATACATCTGGTGGGGACGAGAGACAGGGCCTTCTCGGCTGTGGCCCCCCGGCTGTGGAACTTGCTTCCCACTGAGGAAAGATCGGCTCCATCCCTCCTGTCATCCCTCCTGTCATTTAGGAAGAAATTGAAGTCGTGGTTCTGGGACCAGGCTTTTGGACAACAGACAGAGATAGCACTTTGGACATGGAATTAGATATGGAATTGACTGGAATGATGTTATGGCGATTAATGCTGTTTTTACTGTTTTAATGAACATTTTACTTATTGTTTTAATTGTTATTATATTGCTGTGTTATGTAGCGGCATCGAATTGCTGACAAATGTAAGCCGTCCTGATTCCCCCTTCGGGGGGTTGAGAAGGAATGGGATAGAAATACCATTATATATATATACATATATACATATATATACATATATACATATATACATACATACATACATACATATATATATATATATATATATATATATATATATATATATATATAAGGCTTGGGTAACCACGGAAAAATTTGGTTCTAAACTCGTTTTGTTTTTAGGGGGCCCTTGAGTTTCGTTTTTTTTAATAATTCCGAAATTTTCCTTTTAAAAATTTCGAAATATTCGAAATTTCGTATAATTATGAATCGATTCGTTAATGGCGGACGCGATTGCGCAATATGCTAAAAAGACCTCCAAATGGGACAGGGGGAACTTCTGAAGCTTCCCTCTCCCTCTGTGGTTGACTGTTGGTGTGATAAAACACACAACAACTATAAAACTTGCACCAGACATGCGGAAATAATTACGAAATAATTACGAAATAATTTGCGAAATAATTACGAAATAATTACGAAATAATTACGAAATAATTGCGAAATAATTACGAAATAATTGCGAAATAATTACGAAATAATTACGAAATAAATTGAAAAAATTGTTTCAAATCTAATTTACTCCTCACACTATTCCTGCATGGCTCAATATTGGATCGTAAGCTAATTTAAATACGAATTAATAACGAATTACGAAATTAACGAACGAAACCGCCCAAGCCTTATATATATATATATCTGATGCAGGTGCATGCTATACAAGAAAAAACGGTCAATCCCTTCCTACTGAGGGATTTCCAAGTGCCAAAGTGTGAACAGTAAAAATAAGAAGAGAGACCATTACGTACGATCTATACAGGCTATCCGTGGCTCTTCCCAGTGCCCATTGGGTTGACACCGAATGGTGGGCACGTGGCGCTGTACGTAGCCTTGATTGCATTGGTATCGCACCATGGAGTTGATCTCATAGCGGTCTTTCTTCTTGCCAAAGTGCCTGGCATTCTCAACCATGGGGGGATCCCTGCAAACAACTGGTGGGAGGAAAAAAATGGGTTTTGAAATTGCTCAAAGGGAGGGGAGATCAGCCAGACACAGTCTCGTGGTACCTAGGCCCAGGAGCTTAGGAAAGACCCTCCCTCCACCTCAACTAGCATTGCTTCAGTCTGAGAGGGAGAGAAGGACCTTCCTCTTGTACACTGCCAATCCCTGTTCCAGTATATCCAGAATCAAAAGGCATGGCTATCCTCAGAATCAAGAAGACTTTGCCCTATCTGCCCTGTATGTGTCAAAGGATACTCCAATGGCTGCCCAAATGGGCCATAGGTTATGGTTCAAGATCAATCAATCATATCAATCAACTTTATTTATACCCCGCTACCATCTCCCCAAGGGACTCGGTGCAGCTTACATGAGCCCGAGCCCGTAATACAACAATACAAGCAAGAACAGCAACAATACAAGCAATTAAAACCAAACAAAAACAATAAAACAATAACATAAGCATTAACAGTAGGACCACACACTTTAAAATCTATGGGCAGGCCAAATGTAATTAAAAGTTTTAAAAATAATGCTGGACATGGGCGAAAAAGTGATGGGGCATTTGTGGAAACATACAATAATAATAATAATAATAATAATAATAATAATAATAATAATAATAAATAAATAAACCTTTATTTATACCCCACTACCATCTCCCAAAGGACTCGGTGCGGCTTACAAGAGGCCGAGCCCAAATACATCAGTATAACACAACAACAACAATACAATAACAAGAAACGCATAAGGAAGCAAAAACATTAACAATAACACCGCGGCGCATTAAAACCTGTGGCAGGGCCAAAAGTAATACTTAAAATCTTTAAAAGTGCTGGGCATGATCAGGTGAAATAGGATAAGTATTTTAGGGATAGGTGGGGCATGCAGGCAATTCTAGATCTCTAGTAAAGTGCATTTGGGACACATTGCTTGAAGTTTCCTTATTCTGGGAAGGCACACTGGAACAACCACGTTTTCAAGCTCCTTCTTAAGATTGCCAACGTTGGGGCAAGCCAACAAGCCTACAAGCCTACAAGCAGACCTAAAACAATATAAAGTGCTTTGGAGGACAAAGTGCTATGGGATCATTATTCTGGGAAGGCACACTGGAACAACCACGTCTTCAAGCTCCTCTTAAAGACTGCCAGAGTTGGGGTAAGCCTGATGTCCTTAGGAAGTGAGTTCCAGAGTCGAGGGGCCACCACCGAGAAGGCCCTCTCTCTCATCCTCACCCATCGTGCTTGTGATACAGGTGTGAATGTTTCAACTGACCACCTTGATTAGTGTTTCTTGGAGCAATCTTTTGTTGAGAGGTGTTAATCTGTGCCTGGTTGTTTCCTCTCTGCTGTTTTGCTGTTTTAATTTTAGAGTTTTTTAATACTGGTAGCCAGATTTTGCTCATTTTCATGGTTTCCTACTTTCTGTTGAAATTGTCCACATGCTTGTGGATCACAGGTTTGAATCCAGGGAGTGGCGTGAGCTCCTGCTGTCAGCCCCAGCTTTTTTCGAAAACATGCAAATATGAGTAGATCAATAGGTACCACTCCAGCGGGAAGGTAACGGCCCTCCATGCAGTCATGCTGGTCACATGACCTTGGAGGTGTCTATGGACAACGCTGGTTCTTCAGCATAGAAATGGAGATGAGCACCAACCCCCAGAGTTGGACACGACTGGACTTATTGTCAGGCAGACAGAAGGAGAAAACAACTATAAACAACCAGTCAAGTCCCTCCTCACCACTTTCAGAGTGAAATGCAGCATCGTCTTTGAAATGATGCCACAATGCTACTAAAATTAAACAGCACAGAGGGCATTGGTCAGTTTTGATTCTCTTGCATTTTCAGATTTTGTAAAACAAATTTCCCCCATTTAAGTATGGAGAAATGTGATTTTTAAAAAGTGAATTCTTAAAAAAAATCCTATTTCATTTGCCATTATATTTTCCCTCATCTGAACTCGCTGAATTCATTTGGTACAGCTGTGGTCAACATAGACTGTCTGTGCGCATTCAGAAGAAGGTCTACAAGCCACTCTTAAACACCTTCGCAGAAGTATACGAGAAATTCGGCTTGTCATTGAACATTGAAAAAACCAAGGTGCTGTTCCAGCAGACACCAACCAACCCCTCTCCAATGCCAGAGATACAGCTTAATGGTGTAACATTAGAAAATGTTGACCATTTCCGCTACCTTGGCAGCCACCTCTCCACCAAAGTCAACATCGACACCGAAATACAACACTGCCTGAGCTCTGCGAGCGCAGCATTTTCCCAAATGAAGCAGAGAGTGTTTGAGGACCGGGACATCCGTAGGGATACCAAGGTGCTTGTCTATAAAGCTATTGTCCTCCCAACCCTGCTCTATGCCTGTGAGACGTGGACTGTCTACAGACGTCACATGCAACTCCTGGAACGATTCCATCAGCGCTGCCTCCGGAAAATCCTACAAATCTCTTGGGAAGACAAGCGGACAAACGTCAGCGTGCTGGAAGAAGCAAAGACCACCAGCATTGAAGCGATGGTCCTCCGCCATCAACTCCGCTGGACCGGCCACGTTGTCCGGATGCCTGACCACCATCTCCCAAAGCAGTTGCTCTACTCCGAACTCAAGAACGGAAAACGGAATGTTGGTGGACAGGAAAAGAGATTTAAAGATGGGCTCAACGCCAACCTTAAAAACTCTGGCATAGACACTGAGAACTGGGAAGCCCTGGCCCTTGAGCGCTCCAGCTGGAGGTCAGCTGTGACCAGCAGTGCTGCAGAATTTGAAGAGGCACGAATGGAGGGCGAAAGAGAGAAAGGTGCCAAGAGGAAGGGCACATCAAGCCAACCCCGACCGAGACCGCCTTCCACCTGGAAACCAATGCCCTCACTGTGGAAGAAGATGCAGAGCAAGAATAGGGCTCCACAGCCACATATGGACCCACAAGAATATTGGAAGACAATCCTCCTCGGAAAGCGAGTAAGTAAGGACAACATAGAAGGGGCCATATTGTACTGCATGTCATGCAAGTATTTTCAACTAAAGAGCCTCTCAGGACTAACGTGGTTGGCATAGTTTTGGAAAAATTCGGAACCTTGAATGTGTATCTGGGCATCGGATAAGCCAAATTAGTTTATGATCTCAGTTCCATTGCTTTAGCTATAAACTTAATGGTATTCACTCTGCAGGTCCTGACATTCATCTATAACAACAACAACAACGTTTTATTTATAACTCACGCTATCTCTCCAAGGGCAGTCTATGTAAAGGTACAGTCTATGATGACTTGAGGCCATAGATCAGCATCCTGCAACAATAATTTTCTTTCTCAAGCCACCTCTGTAGTTCTTACTACTGACCCTTTGGCAGCTTGACACATACACAGTTTTTCTAGCAGGTGCCCCAGAAGCCCTTTCTTGATCCCAGGCCTTACCTGTTCCTTTTTTGCAGGTGAACGGAAGGTGATAGTTACAAGGGACGTCATTCCACTCGCCCTTCTCATGCCAAATCATTACGACACAGTCTTCTCCTTTGGCAAAGAAGTTGTCAGGCTGGTTGGGCCGCCAATTTTCATATTGCTGTGAGAGAAGAGAAAGATGCCTATATTTTACACCGGAAAGAGAGACTAACCTGGAAGATGGCAATGCGAATTATATTTCTATGATTCTATGATTCCAATAGCATCAGATGGACTTATTTAGGCACCATTTAAATTGGGTTGTTGCAAGTTTTTTCGGGCTGTATGGCCATGTTCCAGAAGCATTCTCTCCTGATGTTTCACCTGCATCCATGGCAAGCATCCTCAGAGATTGTGAGGTCTCACAACCTCTTGAAGATGCCTGCCATAGATGCAGGTGAAACATCAGAAGAGAATGCTTCTGGAGCATGGCCATACAACCCAAAAACTTACTGCAACCCAGTGATTCTGGCCATGAAAGCCTTCAAGAATATGTTGTGAGGTCTGTTGGAAACTAGGAAAATGGGGTTTATATATCTGTGGAATGTCCAGGGTGGGAGAAAGAATTGAAACATTCACACCTACCTCCAACAGACAACAACAACAACAACAATCTGCAAGGAAGCAGATGAAACAATGTATCACATCCTTAGCTGCTGCAATAAGATCACGCAGACAGACTACAAGCAGAGACATAACACTGTTGCTCAGATAAGTCATTGGAACTTGTGCCACAAATACTATCTGCCTGCGACAAAGGATCACAAGCCGGAAAAAGTTACAGAAAATGAACACATCAAGCTACTCTGGGACTTCCGAATTCAGACAGATAGAGTTTTGGAGCACAACATTCCTGACCTCTTGATCGTGGTAAAAAACAAAGTATGGATTGTTGATGTTGCAATCCCAGGTGACAGCTGGATTGCAGAGAAACAACTGGAAAAGCTGACACAATATGAGGATTTAAAGATCGAACTGCAAAGACTCTGGTACAAATCAGTAAAGGTGGTTCTAGTGGTGATCGGCACACAGGGTGCAGTGCCTAAAGACCTTGGCCTGCACTTAAATACAACTGGCGCTGACAAGATTACCATCTGCCAGCTGCAAAAGGCCACCTTACTGGGATCTGCACACATTATTTGCTGATACATCACACAGTCCTAGACACTTGGGAAGGGTCCGACGTGTGTCCGACGTGTGATCCAATACAGAGTGTCTGCTGTGGACTCATCTTGTGGTGTTTCAAATAATAATAATAATACTTTATTTATACCCCGCCACTATCTCCCCAAGGGGACTCGGGGTGGCTTACATGAGGCCAAGCCCAGCAATACAGTAAAACAATATAACACAAGAACACAGCAGAAAATAAAGAAAATTAAATTAAAATACCAGAAGCAATATAAATAAACACATCAGATAATGTAAAATCAGAAAATTGAATGGTGGGTAGGGCCAATTGCAAAAGATTAAAAATTCAACAACACTGAGTGAGAGAGCAATGTAATGTATCAGGACAGGGGACAAAATTGGGTTTGATTGCACTAGCAGGTAACATAAAGTGCTTCTGAGGGCATTTTATGCAGGACAAGAGTTCTTTCTTCCACCCTGGACATTCAACACCATTTCCCTAGTTTCCAACAGACCTCACAACCTCTGAGGATGCCTGCCATGGATGCAGGTGAAACGTCAGGAGAGAATGCTTCTGGAACATGGCCAAACAGCCCAAAAAACTTACAACAACCCAGTGATTCCGGCCATGAAAGCCTTTGATGATGCCATTTAAATTATCTCACAATACCTCACAATACCTCTGGTATAGCACCTTGTAATCTTATGCCAGAGGGAGAAATTTTTTCAAGTTATTGTTGAAGTCTTTCATGGCCGGAATCACTGGGTTGTTGTAGGTTTTTTCAGGCTATATGGCCATGTTCTAGAGCAGTGGTTCTCAACCTGGGGTCCCCAGATGTTTTTAGCCTACAACTCCCAGAAATCCCAGTCAGTTTACCAGCTGTTAGGATTTCTAGGAGTTGTAGGCCAAAAACATCTGGGGACCCCAGGTTGAGAACCACTGTTCTAGAGGCATCTAGAACATGGCCATATAGCCAAAAAAATCTACAACAATCTACTTTTCCAGTTATTTGTCCTTGTATGCAAGACATTTTTATTAAGAACAAAGTCCCTTCAGAATATAAACTCACAAGGGAGTGACCGTCAGACCAGCGGAAATCATCTTCAACAGCTCTGTCACTAAGGCCAACCCACTGGTAGTCTTGTGCATTGTCTAAAAGAGAGAGAGCGAGAAAGGGAAAGCAGAGGATTAAAACAAAAGTTGGTTTATTGCACTAATAGGAAAAAGACATTTCCCAGAAGTCCCTCTCCAACATACACTCCTTGTTTAAAAAAGAAGAAAATATTACATGCAACAACAAATTATGGAAATTGCACAAAACTGCAATTCATTCATCCATTCATCCATCCATTCATTCATTCATTTACTGTATTTATATACCGCCTTTCTCACCCCTGGGTGGGGGGTGGGGGGTTGGGGGTCAAGGCCGGTTACAACATACTAATGGCAAAAATTCAATACCAACATACATTACACAAAGAATTCATAATAACGAATTACTACATATAACTATCAACTTAAAATCAATTAAACATAAGCTTTCTATGTTATCAGCTTTATAGACTCATAAAACATATGACTTTATAGACTCATATAATGCAATTTAAAGGCATTGAATTGCATTACCTAGGTCTAAAAGTTGGTACAAAACGCAGCTGCTCGGCTTCTTGCGGGAATTCCGATGAGATGCCACATAACACCAATCTTACTACAGTTGCATTGGTTACCAATTGAGCACCGGATCACTTTCAAAGGGATGGGACTCACCTTGAAGGCCTTGCATGGTCTGGGGCCGATGTACCTGAGGGATCGTCTCACCCCCTCCCAACCCCAGAGATCCCTCCGTTCTGAGGACCAAGATCTATTGGAAATTCCCAGTGTCAAGACCTTGCGTCTAACAGCAACCAGACGCAGAGCCTTCACAGCAGTGGCACCATCGCTCTGGAATACTCTGCCACCTGAAGTCCGTGCCTTGTGGGACTTATCAGCTTTCCGCAGGGCATGTAAGACATACCTGTTTCGACAGGCCTTTGTTGATATTGCGGGTTTTAAATTGTTTTAAATTGGTTTTAAATTGTGTTAGATTTTAGTCATTCTTGTAAGTCGCTCCGGGCCCCAGGGGAGTGGCGGCATAGAAGTTAGAATAATAAATAAATAAATACATACATACATACATACATACATAAATAACACTACATTAAATGGAAATGATGATGGGGCTTAGAGATCTCTTCCACACAATGATGAGAAGGCCCTGTCCCTCGTCCCAACCAATCACGTTTGCGATGTGGGTAGGGTTGAGAGCAGGGGCTCTCCAGATTACCTTAAGTTTTGTGATGGTTCATACCAGGAGATATGTTCGGACAGGTAGTCTGCGCCAGAACCGTTTAGGGCTTTAAAGGTTAAGACCAGCACTTTGAACTGTGCTCGGAAGCTGATCAGCAGCCAGTGGAGATGGTGTAACCGAGGAGTTGTGTGCTCCCTGTACGCCGCTCCAGTGAGCAACTTGGCTGCCAACCATTGGACTAATTGAATCATAGCATCCAAGAGTTGGAAGAGACCTCGTGGGCCATCCAGTCCAACCCCATTCTGCCAAGAAGCAGGAATATTGCATTCAAATCACCCCTGACAGATGGCCATCCAGCCTCTGTTTAAAAGCTTCCAAAGAAGGAGCCTCCACCACACTCCGGGGCAGAGAGTTCCACTGGTGAATGGCTCTCACAGTCAGGAAGTTCTTCCTCATGTTCAGATGGAATCTCCTCTCTTGTAGTTTGAAGCCATCGTTCCGCGTCCTAGTCTCCAAGGAAGCAGAAAACAAGCTTGCTCCCTCCTCCCTGTGGCTTCCTCTATTTATACATGACTATCATATCTCCTCTCATCCTTCTCTTCTTCAGGCTCAACATGCCCAGCTCCTTAAGCCGCTCCTCATAGGGCTTGTTCTCCAGACCCTTGATCATTTGAGTCACCCTCCAGCTTCTCAACATCTCTCTTGAATTGTGGTGTCCAGAATTGGACACAATATTCCAGGTGTGGTCTAACCAAGGCAGAATACAGCATGGGGAGCATGACTTCCCTAGATCTAGACACTAGGCTCCTCCTATTGATGCAGGCCAAAATCCCATTGGCTTTTTTTTGCCGCCACATCACATTCCTGGCTCATGTTTAACTTGTTGTCCACGAGGACTCCAAGATCTTTTTCACTCGTACTGCTCTCAATATCTCTCTTGAATTGTGGTGCCCAGAATTATTATTATTATTATTATTATTATTATTATTATTATTATTATTAACTTTATTTACACCCCGCAAAATCTCCCGAAGGACTCGATGCAGCTTACAAAGGTCAAGGCCGCCAACAACAACAACAACATACAAAGATCACAGTAAAACTCATAAGCAAATAGTAAAACATCAAGCAAAACAATAAAACACTAAAACAATGACATCATGACGCATTAAAACCTAAAGGCCGGGCCAAATGTAATGGACAAAATTTAAATGTGCTGAACTTGACAGGATGTATGTAGAGGTTTTTTAGAGGTAAGTGCAATGTGCAGACAATCCTGGTCTCTGACGAAGTGCATTTGGGACATGATGCCAGGAGTTTCCTAATCTGGAAAGGCACACTGGAACAGCCAGGTTTTCAGGCTCTTCCTAAAGATTGCTAACATTGGGGCTTGTCTGATGTCCTTGGGGAGAGAGTTCCAGAGTCGGGGGGCCACCACAGAGAAGGCCCTGTCCCTCGTCCCCACCAAACGCGCTTGCGATGCAGGTGGGATCATGAGCAGGGCCTCTCCAGATGAATGGAGGGAACGCGTGGGTTTGTATATGGAGCTGCGGTCACGCAGGTAGGTGAGTCCCAAACCATTTAGGGCTTTGTAGGTGACCACCTGCACCTTGAATTGGGACCGGAAGATGAACAGCAGCCAATGGAGCTCCTTAAACAGGAGGGTTGACCTCTCTCTGTAAGGAGCGCCAGTTAACTGCCTGGCCGCCGTCCGTTGGACCAATTGGAATTTCCAAGCCGTTTTCAAGGGCAGCCCCACATAGAGCGCATTACAGTAGTCCATTCTAGATGTAATGTTTGAAGAATTGGACACAATTCTTCAAAGGCCGCCCCAAATCTTCTTGGGAAAAAACCCAAGCATATGCTGTCAAGTTTAAGGTCTCTCTAAAGATGTCTGAAGACACTCTACTTACTGTTGACAAACTCTTGCTCTTCGGGAGTGATGATACTGCTCAAGTGGGACTGGTGTTCTCGGCACAAGTTCTCAGCATCCACCCAGGTGTGTTTCTCTTCGAAATGCTTGTAACAGTTGCCTTGGAATTTGGTCCAACCCACTTCACATTCTGCCAGGTCTGGAAATGGATAAGAAGGAGATATGAAGGCAAACAGAAGAAGGAAAAGACGGGGAAGAAGTTTCCCAAATGGCCTCATAAACACCCAGACAGAACTTGATTGAGTGGAGATGCAATGCACAGTTGTTTTCTCAGAAAGAAGGAAGTATTGACTTCCCTGCCATAGAAGATCCCTGTGGAGCCAAGCAAAATTTCAGAGACAATTGATGCCACTGTAGCCTGCCAAAAGATGAAGGAAGATGGCAGTGCCTTTTCAAGGCTGCCAAAGCGAAAGGGAAGGCCATTCAAGTTGCTTGGGCTCCATAAGGTTCTTCTTGAGGAAACAGAAGGAGGACTTAAAGATAAATGGTTGGCAGGTCACAACATCCCCGTGGGTTTTGAGGAAGCCTTGAACAATTCTACACAGATTCAATTCGAATAAAGGTTACTGCTATTTAAAATAAGAAGGGAGTCGTTGAGATATTTTATTATTTTGTTCTGCTTCTTGGTCGTATAGTGCGGTGGTTTAAACCGCTGACCTGCTGAACTTAATAGTAATCTATATAAATAAAAATGTAATGTTCGTTTGTGGGATTAACGTAACTCAAAAACCACTAGATGAATTGCCGCCAAATTTGGGCACATGACACCTACTGACCCAAGGGAGTGACCATCACTATATATTAGGCCTGGGTAACAACGGAAAAATTTGTTTCTAAAATCGATTCGTTTTTTGGGGGTTTTTGCGTTTCGTTATTTAAAATAATTACAAAATTTTCCTTTTAAAAAGTTTGATATTTACGAAATTTCGTAAATGTGAAAAAAATTACAAAACATTAACGAATCGATTTCCGAAACAATAACGAATCGATTCGTTAATGGCGGACGCGACCGCGAAATACGCTAAAAAACCTCCAAAACTTCTGAAGCTTCCCTCTCCCTCTGTTGTTGACTGTTGGTGTGATATTATAATTTTTTTTCACTAATTAAACAAAAAACAACTATAAAACTTGCCCCAGACATGCGGAAATAATAACGAAACGACCTCAAACCAATAACGAAACGAATACATAACGAATCCGAAGCATTTACGAAACGAATTTAAAAATTCGTTTCGTTTTTAAGTTGCTCCAGAATGGTTCGTTATCGTTTTGTAATTGAAAAAATTAACGAATTATTAACGAATTACGAATTAACGAAACGAAACCGCCCAGCCCTACTATATATATATATATATAGTTTTGTCATTTGGGAGTTGTAGTTGCTGAGATTTATAGTTCACCTACAATCAACCGCTTTGAGTCCTCCTAGGGGTGAGAAAAGTGGTATATAAATATTGTAAATAAATAAATAAATAAAAGAGCATTCTGAACTCCACCAATGATGGAATTGAACCAAACATGGCACACAGAACTCCCATGACAGACAGAAAATACTGGAAGGGTTTGGTGGGCATTGACCTTGAGTTTGGGAGTTGTAGTTCACCTACATCCAGAGTGTGCTGTGGACTCAAGCAATGATGGTTCTGGACCAAACTTGGCACAAGCACTCAATATGCCCAAATATGAATTGCATGTATTAGAAAACAGCACTTTCTCATTACTTTATTTTCCAGATCATGAGACTGGGCCACGAATTGGCAACGCGTGACAGGGGATAGCTAATCTATATAAATAAAAATGTAATGTTCGTTTGTGGGATTAACATAGCTCAAAAACCACTGGATGAATTTACACCAAATTTGGACACAAGGCACTTATCAGGCCAACGAGTGACCAGCACTCATAAAAACACTGAAGAACACAGAAGAAGGGACTTTAAAAGCCAAAAAACAAATATACATTACAACGCATGCACAATACCACATATATACACAAACACACACATATATACACATATACACAAATATATACAGAAACATATACACACATATATGCACACACAAAACATACACAGAAAGAGGAAGGAAGGAAGGAGAAAATGAGGGAGAGAAAGAGGGAAAGAAAGAGGGAAAGAAGAAGGAGGGAAGGAAAGAAAGAAAGGTAGAGAAGGAAGGAAGGAAGGAAGGAAGGAAGGAAGGAAGGAAGGAAGGAAGGAAGGAAGGAAGGAAGGAAGGAAAAAAGTGAGACAAGGAAAGAGAGAAGAAACGAAAGAGAGAAAGAAGAGAGAAGGAAGGAAGGAAGGAAGGAAGGAAGGAAGGAAGGAAGGAAGGAAGGAAGGAAGGAAAGAGACAAGGAAGGATGGAACAAAAGAGCAAAGGAAGCAAGAAAAGAAACAGGTAGAGAAGGAAGAAAGAAGGGAAAGAGAAAGAGGGAGGGAAGGAGAGAAAGAAAGAAGAAGAGAAAGAGGGAGGGAAGGTTGGCTATAGCAACGTGTGGTGGGTACAGCTAATAATAATAATAATAATAATAATAATAATAATAATAATAATAATAACTTTATTTATAGCTTGCCACCATCTCCCCAAAGGGGACTCGGGGCAGCTAACATGAGACTGAGCCCAAAAATAATACCGCAAAATAGGATACAAAACAACAGAAAATTAAACACAACAAAATGCATAACATAACAAAATAAAATAAACAGTGCAAAACAACATAATAAAAATCAAACACAAAGGGCGAGCCAAATGTGCAAGATAAAATGTTGAAACATCAAAACCCTGGGTGTGATAGGAAATAAAGAAAGTGTATTTGTAAGGGAGGAGACCGAGAAGGAAGAGCAGTGGGGTTTGGTCTTCATTAAGGACAGGGGAAAGTGGAAACTTTCTAACTGAAAGATCGGAGGTTCGAATACGGGGAGTGGCATGAGCTCCCGCTAATAGCACCAGCTTCTGCCTCACAGTTCAAAAACATGCAAATGTGAGTAGATCAATAGGTACCGCTCCAGCGGGAAATTAATGGCACTCCATGCAGTTATGCTGGCCATGTGACTTTGGAGGTGTCTATGGACAATGCCGGCTCTTCAGCTTAGAAACGGAAATGAGCATCAACCCCCAGAGTTGGACGCAACTGGACTTAATGTCAGGGGAAAACCTTTACCTTTACTATCTGCTATGTATTTCATGAAAAGTGTTGACAAAACTGTGAAGTTGCATTTCATAACTAGGATTAAGTTAGCTGTTAGCCACTGAGGAGAAGTGGTTTGAGCATTGGATTACGACTAACGAAACCAGGGTCCAAATCTATGCTCAGCCATGGAAACCTATTGGGTGATCTTGGACATGTCACACTCTCTCAGCCTCCAAGGAGGGCAAGGGCAGACCCTTGAACCAATCCTGCAAAGAAATCACTTCATCCTAAGGTGTCCAGAAGTCAGGAATGACTTGAAGGCCCACAATGACAACAACAAAAACACTGCTATAATGCTCCACTGACCCTGTGATGCTTTTGTTTTATGTTGTAATCATGCCCAAAAGCTTGCTGTTTTTTATGCAGCACATTAATGCATCCTGGTGGTGCAGCAGGTTAAACCACTGAACTGCTGAACTTGCTGACCAAAAGGTTAGTGGTTTGAATCTGGAGAATGGGGTGAGCTCCCGCTATTAGGCCCAGCTTCTGCTGACCTAGCAGTATGAAAACATGCAAATATGAGTAGATCAATAGGTACTACTTCTGTGGGAAGGTAATGGCGCTCCATGCAGTCATGCTGGCCACATGACCTTGGAGATGTCTATGGACAATGCAGACTCTTCGGTTTAAAAATGGGAGATCAATAGGTACTGCTTCTACGGGAAGGTAATAGCGCTCCATGCAGTCATGCTGGCCACATGACCTTGGAGATGACTATGGACAATGCCGACTCTTCGGTTTAAAAATGGGAGATCAATAGGTACTGCTTCTGCGGGAAGGTAATGGCGCTCCATGCAGTCATGCTGACCACATGACCTTGGAGTTGTCTATGGACAAAGCCAACTCTTCACCTTAGAAATGGGAGTAGATCAATAGGTACTGCTTCTGTGGGAAGGTAATGGCGCTCCATGCAGTCATGCTGGCCACATGGCCTTGGAGATGTCTATGGACAATGCCAACTCTTCGGTTTAGAAATGGGAGATCAATAGGTAGTGCTTCTGCGGGAAGGTAATGGCGCTCCATGCAGTCATGCTGGCCACATGACCTTGGAGTTGTCTATGGACAATGTCAACTCTTCGGTTTAGAAATGGGAGATCAATAAGCACTGCTTCTGCGGGAAGGTAATGGCGCGCCATGCAGTCATGCTGGCCACATGAGCTAGGAGGTGTCTATGGAAAACGCCAGCTCTTAGAAATAGAGATGAGCACCATCCCCCAGAGTTGGACATGACTAGACTTAATGTTAGGAAAAACCTGGACATTTTGGTACAGTACAGAGTAGACTTATTCAGTTTAAGAGATGGAATGACACATGGTCCCATTGGGCACAGATGTGCACCACATGAAAGTTCACATTATGCATGGATGTCCATTGTAGGGACATGCATTCTGCACAGAAGAAAATCGTGCATTTACAGGTTGACGTCCACTTGAATTAAGTTGCATGTTTGGTTGCCCAACTGCTTCCTCATTTTGTGAGTGTAAAATTGTATTATTTTGCTTTATTCTAAGGTCATGGTCAACGCCTTTCGACGTCCCAAAGAGGAACTTCGGAAATGGGCAGAAATAAACAGAGATATCTTGGTACCTCTGCTCAGTTTAATACATAGCCTGTATTTTGCATGCAGAAGATTCCTAATTCAGAGCAGCTCCAGGCTGAAATGGAGAAAACTTCCATATGAAACACTTGAAAGTCAATACAGACTATGGTGAGTGGCCTGACTTAGTATAAGGCAGCTTCCTATCTTATTCTTATGTATCATTGCCCATTTTTTAGAACCATATAAAGCCATCTAGTCCAACCCCCTTCTGCCATGCAGGAACACAATCAAACCACCCTTGGTAGATGGCCATCCAGCCTCCACTTAAAAATCTCCAGAGGAATTCACACTAAAAAATCAGGAGAATTCCAAACAAGAATCAATCAGGACCAGCTAGCACCTCCCAACAAAGGATTTCCCCAGGCAGCAACCAGCCAGGCTTTGAAGCTGCAAGGCCATTAAATGCTAATCAAGCTGGCCAACTGCAACATTCACCCTTGCCTCAAGGTGACAAGAGTTCTTTCTCCCACCCTGGAAATTATTCCACAGATATAAAAACTCCACTTGACTTGTTTACAACAGCTCTCACAACCCCTGAGGATGCCTGCCATAGATGCAGGCAAAACGTCAGGAGAGAATGCTTCTGGAACATGGCAATACAGCTTGAAAAACTTACAACAACCCAATGGAGGATGTGTTTGTCTCCTAGCCAAAACAAATGTGATCGTTATGAAGTGTTAGCTCTGAAGAGACGAGGATGGGACGGGGTGGGACAGGACAAGGGCATCCCAGGGGAAAGAGAAGAAGGAGAGCTGTTAGTCCAGTTAGCTGAAGCCAGGTAGGGAGGAGGTAGGCAGGCCGTACCAATGTCACAGAGATCCCCTCCGTAGCTGGGAAGGCATAAGCATGTGAAATTGTGGACGCCATCGACGCAGGTAGCTCCATTCAGACAGGGTCTGGAGTGGCACTCATCAACGTCTGCAAGAAATCAAGGGCGCCATTAGGACGTGGGCTGGGCAGGGAGATGGTCAACAGGAGAACTCCATGTGAGGGGAAGAAGCAGGGAAATGTTTGGAGGGACCGTGGAGGAGAATGGGATTCGGATGGAGAACTGCTGCTGCTGCCACCAAAATAGGAAAGGCATGGGGATGGGAAGACATGGGGAGCTAAGAATGGGAGACCAAGGTTGTCATCTACTTGGGTTGCTGAAATGACAGGTGCTGTTAGGCTTGGTGGAGCTCCTATCCTGATCTCTGGCAAACTCCTATTCTGTATAGGAGAGTGTTGCTTTGTCTGTGGTCACCAATTACCGTATATACTCAAGTATAAGCCGACCCGAATATAAGCCAAGGGACCTAATTTTACCACAAAGAACTGGAAAAACCTATCGACTCGAGTATAAGCTGAGGATGAGAAATGTAGCTGCTTCTGGTAATCATCAGTAGGTTAAATGTTTTTGAGTACCGTATATTCCGGCATATAAGACGGCTGGGCGTATAAGACGACCCCCAACTTTTCCAGTTAAAATATAGAGTTAAGACGACTCCCATGCATAAGACTACACCTGCGTATAAGACGACCCCTGACTTTTGAAAAGATTTTCTTGGGCTAAAAAGTAGTCTTATACGCCAGAATATACTGTATTTACACAAAACTGTAATTTAAGATAAGGCTGCCCAACTCTGATTCAACCCTTATTCGAACCTCCTTCAATGTCAATGTGCTTATTACCTATTACCTATAATGATAGAGTAAAATAATAAATGTAATAACATGTAATAAAAATAATAATAGAGTAAATAATGGAAATTTAATAATAATAGTAATAATAATAGTAATAATAATAATAATAAAGTAATAAATGTAATAACAACTATAATAGAGTAAAATAATACATGCAATAAATATAATAATACAGTAAAATAATGTAAATGTAATAATAATAATAGAGTAAAATAATAAATGTAATAAAAGTAATAATAGAGTAAAATAATGTAAATGTAATAATATTAATAGAGTAAAATAATAAAAGTAATAAAAGTAATAATAGAGTAAAAGAATGTAAATGTAATAATATTAATAGAGTAAAATAATAAATGTAATAAAAATAATACTAATAGCAGAGTAAAATAACAAATAATCTTGACTTGGGTATAAGCCAAGGGGATTTTTATCAGCCTAAAAAAGGGGCTGAAAAACTAGGCTTATACTTGAGTATGTACAGTAATTCCAGGCAGTAGAATTTTGCAGAGCTGATTGTGTTTAAGTGCAGGCCAAGGTCTTTAGGCACTGCACCCAGTGTTCCGATCACCACTGGGACCACCTTGACTGGCTTGTGCCAGAGACCTACACAGAGCGAAACACTTCTTCACCTTTTTGAATGGAGAGGGACTTTAGCCACCCATCTTGGACATAGTTCAAAGCCTTACAATTGCTATGGTCAACCAGGAAAGGGACGCACTTCTAAAGGAGAGGTCACTTGCCAGACTGTTGTGTTAAGGAAGGGGGGATTGTGGAGAATGACCACTGAGGAACTGTCAGGACATTTCACCTCATTTCACAATTGACTTTAATTCTTTGTAGTAGGCAACCAGGAGGAATAAAATCCTAGAGATGGAAGAGACCTCATGGGCCATCCAGTCCAACCCCCTTCCAAGAAGCAGGAAAATTGCACCCAAAGCACCCCCGACAGATGGCCATCAGCCTCTGCTTAAAAGCTTCCAAAGAAGGAGCCTCCACCATACTCCAGGGCGGAGAGTTCCACTGTTGAACAGCTCTCACAGTTAGAAAGTTCTTCCTCATGTTCTGGTGGCATCTCCATAGAGTTGGAAGAGACCTTGTGGACCATCCAGTCCAACCCCTTTCCAAGAAGCAGGGAAATCACATCCAAAGCACTCCTGACAGATGGCCATCCAGCCTCTGCTTAGAAGCCTCCAAAGAAGGAGCCTCCACCACACTCCAGGGCAGAGAGTTCCACTGTTGAACAGCTCTCACAGTTAAGAAGTTCTTCCTCATGTTCAGGTGGAATCTCCATAGAGTTGGAAGAGACCTCATGGACCATCCCCCTTCCAAGAAGCAGGAAAATCACATCCAAAGCACCCTCGACAGATGGCCATCCAGCCTCTGCTTAAAAGCCACCACCACACTCCAGGGCAGAGAGTTCCACTGCTGAATAGCTCTCACAGTCGGGAAACTTTTCCTGTAGAGACTATACACTTTCCCATATGTACCCACAAGTCCCCCCCCCCCCCCCCCCAAGTGATGTGTCATCACACCTTTCTGTCACACACACACATGCTAAAAATCTGGGGAAAATGCTTCTAGTCCCAACCTTGACAGTCATTAGTAATGAAAACAAGAGAAATGGCTTCCTAGTAAGCTTCTAAATGCAATTTAGCCTAACAGGGTGAGCAATGCGTGTGCCGGGAGAAAGGTTTTGATTTGCTCAGGACACTGAAAATGATATAACCTTGGTCTCCACTGCCTACCAATACCATGACAACATTTCAGAGCTGGTCAAAGTATTTTTCAAATGAAAAAAAGAATATGTGTTTTTCTGACTTAGACTTCATAGAATGAATTATTAGCATTATCCTTTTGTTTGGGTCTGTTGAATTGATCCAGTGAAGTTTGTGGGTTTCTCATCCTTCCTGATAACTAATTTTATAAGAGATTTGGGAAGGTCAATTGTGGTTCAAGGAATGTAATAATAATAATAATAATAATAATAATAATAATAATCCCCAGAGTATTTAATAATAGTAATTCCCAGAGCTACTCTGGGACTTTTGAATACAGATAGACAGAGTTTTGGAGCACAATACTCCTGACCTCACAATTGTGTTAAAAAACAAAGTATGGATTGTCGATGTTGCAATCCCAGGCGACAGAAGGATTGACGAGAAACAACGGGAAAAGCTAACATGATATGAGGATTTAAAGATCAAACTTCAAAGACTGGCACAAGCCAGTCAAAGTGGTCCCAGTGGTGATGGGCACACTGGGTGCAGTGCCTAAAGACCTTGGCCTGCACTTAAACACAATCAGAGCTGAGAAGATTACCACCTGCTAGCTGCAAAAGGCCACCTTACTGGGATCTGCATGCATTATTTGCCGATACATCACACAGTCCTAGACACTTGGGAAGTGTCCAACGTGTGATCCAATACAACAGCCAGCAGAGTGTCTGCTGTGGACTCATCTTGTTGTGTTTCAAATTATTATTATTATTATTATTATTATTATTATTATTATTATTATTATTATTATTGGGTTGTTGTAGGTTTTTCCGGGCTATATGGCCATGTTCTGGAGGCAATTTTTCTCCTGACGTTTCGCCTGCATCTATGGCAAGCATCCTCAGAGGTAGTGAGGTCTGTTGGAAGTAGGAAAAATGGATCTATATATCTGTGGAATGACCAGGGTGAGACAAAGGACTTTTTTTCTGCTGGGGCTAGATGTGAATGTTTCAGCTGATCACCTTGATTTGCATTCAATGGCTTGGAAGTGCCCAGGGGGAATCCCTTGTTGAGAGTGATTTTATGTGCCTGTTTGTTTCCCCTCTGCTGTATTATTATTATTATTATTATTATTATTATTATTATTATTATTATTTGTTCTATCACGCACTGGGCCTGTAAATAATTGTCTTTAAATAGGACGTGCGACTTGAGCCCAGCGGGAAGCCAGGGCCCCCCAAAGAGAAGTTCTCAGAGGTTTTCCACCACAAATGGTCTTTAGATGGCTTGTGAAGTATAACAAAGTCCTTTATTAATGAACAATCAAACAGAAACTTCTCTTGTCTTCAATAAAGCTAAACAAATGATTCCAGGCTTTTATGCAACTGGTGGCTTCCTAAGGACAGGCAATTGTTTTCAATAACTAATTCTTTGCTTTAAAGGAAAATCCCCCTTTTTAACTTCTCCCAGGCTGACTGTAATCTAATTCTTACTGATGTGGGCTCTGCTACCAGGTCGAACTGCATCTCGAATGCTGAGTGGACCTACCAGTAAGGCTAGAAGGAGTTCTTTGGTCTTTAGGGCTGTTTCCCTGGAAATCTTTGGAGACTCTTAAGGCTGTTCTCCCCTGGAAAGTCTTAAGGGTTGAAGCTTTTGCACAGGGGAAGCTTGCACACGTCCTGTACATTAGCTTCCCTTGCTGAGACTAACTAAAAAATGGCTCCCTTCCCTTCCCAATTGCCCTGAGCAAGGGGTGGAACCAAAACTTAACGATGATGGACAGGTGACTTGCCCTATGACTGCAACTAAAGGAAGCCACCTATCTGCAGAGTCCCTGAAACCCTGGATTGCAAGCAAACACTTGATACAAAGCAAATAAAGTCGAAGCTCCTGGTACAGCCTTACCAGCACATTATTATTATTATTCTGCCCTGTTTCCCTGAGGAGACTCAGGGCAGATTCCAACATATAAGGAAGTGATCTTGTGGGATGAGTGGATGCATTGAATTATAACTGTTTGACAATGGGACCGCCCCCCCCCCACCCCAAAATGCTTGATGTGTCTTTCCAAAAGCAAATGCAGGCAGCTTTGCATGGAAAAGGGCTAATTTTTCATCCTAGGATTCACTTTCTGCAAGTGGAAATGGAAATAGTCAGAGATCTACCGGCTGTTAGGAATGGTGGGAGTTGAAGTCCAAAATACCTGGAGGGCCAAAGTTTGCCCATGCCTGTTCCAGTGGCATTCTTGAACAGTTGTTATGGTCCAGAGATTCTTCCTAATGTTTAGGTAGAATCTCTCCCACCCCCCTGCAATTTGAATTTGATTCCCCCAGGCTCAGCCAGGCCTTCAAATGCTAATGAAGGTGGTCAGTTGAAACATTCACACCCAGATCTAGCAGAGAAGAGCTCTTTGCCCCACCCCAGTCATTCCACAGATATATAAACCCATTTTCCTAATCCCAACAGACCTCACTACCTCTGAGGATGCTTGCCATAGATGCAGGCGAAACGTCAGGAGAAAATGCCTCTAGAACATGGCCATATAGCCCGGAAAAACCCACAACAACCCAGTGATTCCAGCCATGAAAGCCTTCGACATTACACTAAGCCATTCTTCATAGGGTTTGCTTTCCTAAACTCTGTTCCATTTGATCGCCCTTATCTGGACACATTCTAACTTGTTTATACAGGGGCATGGAATTAGACAACAGACACACAAATGATTGCAATCCACATCACAAATGACAGCAAAGCCTGCCATTATTGTTTGAATATGTAAAAAAAAAGTGTCACAAAAGCATCAGGAACCATCAAGAAGTGACCACAAATGGTCTTACATAAACAAAACAATTTGCCAGTCTGGAAGCACATCCAGATTAACAGAAACAATGGTGGGTTGCTGTAAGTTTTCTGGACTGTCTGGCCATGTTCCAGAAGCATTCTCTCTTGATGTTTCTCCCACATCTATGGCAGGCATCCTCAGAGGTTGTGAGGTTTGTTGAAAACTATGGGGTTTATATATCTGTGGAATGTTCATGGTGGGAGAAAGAACTCCTGTCTGTTTGAAGCAAGTGTGAATGTTGCAATTGGCCACCTTGATTAGCATTGAATGGCCTCGCAGCTTCAAAGCCTGGCTTCTTTCTGCCTCGGGGATCCATCAGGCTCAGAAAACTCATAGCAAACCAGTGATTCCAGCTTTGAAAGCCTTTGACAACACAAGAAACCATTGTATTGTTGAAGGCTTTCATGGCCGGAATCACTGTAGGTTTTTTTGGGCTATATGGCCATGGTCAAGAGGCATTCTCTCCTGACGTTTCGCCTGCATCTATGGCAAGCATTCTCAGAGGTAGTGAGGTGCTCGCTGTAAAGATCCCTTACCTTGCCATCCAGGGTGGCAGGGCCCCAGGAGAAAGTCAGGCTAGGTAGTTTAGCTTGGAAGGCCTGGCAGAGTGCTGCTGGAGCCATTTTAGAGTAGGGAAAAGCTCCAGGGCAGAAGGGGGAGTGGCTGAGGCCTGTGCCAGCCCAGCAAAAGCCAGGATTGGTTTAAGGAATAGGGGCGGAGTTAGCCAGAAGGAGGGAAAGTGAACATTGAGATCTGACAGTTTTAGAGTTAGTTCAGCTGAGTTCTGAGAAGAGTAGAGAGCAGTTTGAGTTCTGAGAGAGAGATTAGTGTAGAAGTTGGATTGTTTAGGAGTCTCTGTTTAAAATAGGCAGTTTGCCTTTAGTCTGTACAGCACAGTGGGCTGTGACAGACTGAGATTACAGCTACTTTTGAGGAAAAATAGCTGGGTTCTGTGTTTATTGAAACTGTAACTAAGAAAGAACATTCTCTCTAGAAACCAATACGCTTATAAGAAACAAGAACATTTTTTATCTGTAACCATCAAGCCTCAGTACCTGCATTCTCGTGATATTTCTGAATTTGTAATCAATAAACTCTTTCTTGATTATTGTTAAACTTAAAGCCTGAGTCAAGTGCTATTTTTGGTTTTGAGTCCCTTTCTTTTGAAATCAACCTCTCCTGTTTTCCCCTCAGAGAAAGCCCTTGATTATATACAGCCATTGGTGGAGTAACAAGTTTTTTTATTAATTTAAAAACAGCCTGATAATATTTTTAAATAACTAGAGGGTTCGTGATTTCTTTAGTTTGGTGGCAGCGAAAGTTTTACACAACGTGACCTCCCCTCAAACCCTACAAAAGCCTCTTTTTGAGTTATTATAATTGGTAGTGAGCAGAGGTGGGATATTGATTTATCACCCATACCTCTAAAGATCCTTGATAATTGGTGGGGCAGCGGTGGGATTTCTTTGATTGTTTCCCCCTGCCCAGATAACCCTCGAAGGTTTCCTTTATACTCGCCATAGATGCAGGCGAAATGTCAGGAGAGAATGCCTCTAGACCATGGCCATATAGCCTGAAAAAACCTACAAAAACCCACAAAAACCATGTTTTTGCTCACCTCTAGGTTGCATTGAGAAAGATGGAACCCACTCAGGATTATTTGGCCAAGAGATCCACAAAAGACTTGGAAATGGCATGGATAGAGGTAACCAAAGTTCACCTCCTTCTTCTATCTCCATTATCCTTAAAATGAAATTTTGCTCCCTTCTACACTGTACTCATATGCTGGGATCTGATCCCAGGTTATCTGCTTTGAACTGGATTACATGAGTCTCCACTTCCATATAATCTGGGAAAAGCAGATAATCTGGGATCAGATCCTGGGATATAAGGGGCCCTTAACTCCCATGAAAATTAGTTTGGGTCAGTGGCTGAGGAAACCCTAATTATTATATTATTATTATTATAACTTTATTTGTACCCCGCTAGCATCTCCCGAGGGATTCGGTGCAGCTTACACAGGCCGAAGCCTCAAAAAACACAATACAACAATACAATACCCAAGCAAATTAAAAACAGTTAAGCAGGAAAACAATAACAGTGACAATACAACAAAACACTATTAAAACTGGGCCGGCCGAAATAGGGGTACAGGGTTAAAAATGCTGATGTGGCAGGAGGATGTGGGATTAAATATAAGTGCGGTGTGCAGTGATCTTGGTTCAACTAAGGTGCTTCTAGGATTTGGTACTGGAGGTTCCTAATCTGAAAAGGCACATCGGAACAGCCAGGGTCTGGAGAGGAAGAGACCTGGAACTGGAGAGGAGCTGCTGATGCCAGAGCCCAGAAGTGGGCCCTTTACACCCAGAATAAGGTCATGGCATTTGGGAGAGTAAATTCTTTCTAGTGTCATTTTAATGTTGCATACATTTCTATCTGGTATTTTTTTATTAGGCTTTAGAAGTAAACTTAAATGTTGCAATACTAATGAGAAGCCAAGGCAGAACAGTCCTACATGCAGGAAGATTTGTAGCAGTGTTTCTCTGCTTTTATAATGCCGTCACCCCTTAATACAGTTCCTCATGTTGTGGTGACCCCCAACCATAACATTATTTTCGTTGCTACTCCATAACTCTAATTTTGCTACTGTTATGAACTGCAATGTAAATATCTGATATGCAGGATGAATTTTCATTCACTGGACCAAATTTGGTACAAATACCTAATACACAATTTGAATACTGGTGGGATTAGGAGGGGTTGGTTTTGTCATGTGGGAGTTAATCTCAGCAGCAAGTTAATCTCCATTCTAGGAAGAGGACATCTAGACTTACCTATGTCACAGTGATCACCCATATATCCAGGTGGGCACAAGCAAGTGACGATCCCTTCTTGTTCCTGGCAAGTTCCCACTCCACATGGCTTCTCTTCACATGTCTTGGATGTAACTACAAATATAAAGTTTATATCCACTTAATCATTCAGCTATGTAGATTGGATGGGATGCTAAATGAGGGCTACCTCCAAGTTTGAGGGACTCTGGTTAAAAGACCCTCAGGAAGTCACAACGGTTAAGAGGCAGACCTCTTTTCTCTTTGCTCTTTCCCATGAATCCTAATTCACTCTCTTCCTTCACCCTTGGAATGCATTACAACTTCCCCCTCGATGGACTGTTGGTGGGCAGGAAAAGAGATTTAAAGATGGGCTCAAAGCCAACCTTAAAAACTCTGGTGTAGACACTGAGAATTGGGAAGCCTTGACCCTTGAGCGCTCCAGCTGGAGGTCAGCTGTGACCAGCAGTGCTGTAGAATTTGAAGAGGCACGAATGGAGGGCGAAAGAGAGAAACATGCCAAGAGGAAGGAGCATCAAGCCAACCCCGAGCAGGACTGCTTTCCACCTGGAAACCAATGCCCTCACTACGGGAGAAGATGCGGGTAAAGAAGAGGGCTCTACAGTCACCTACGGACCCATCGATCTTGGAAGATAATCCTACTCAGACAATGAGGGATCACCTAAGTAAGTAGAATTACAATTTGGGAAGAAGATTAAGGCTTCTCGCTGCTAAGTCCTAAGGTAAGGTAAGGTAAGGTTTTTCCTTGACATTAAGTTGAGTCGTGTCCGACTCCAGGGGTTGGTCCTCATCTCCATTTCTAAGTCAAAGAGCCGACATTGCCCATAGACACCTCCAAATTCATGTGGCCAGCATGACTGCATAGAGCACTGTTACCAGAGCAGTACCTATTGATCTACTCATATGTGCATGTTTTCAAACTGCTACGCTGGCAGAAGCTGGGGCTAACAGCGGAAGCTCACCTCTCTCCCTGGATTCAAACCTGCAACCTTTTGGTCAGCAAGTTCAGCAGCTCAGTGGTTTAACTCACTGTGCCGCTGGGGACTCCTAAGTAGAGCCAAAGTAGGGCTAAGTCCTACTTGAAGCCAAACCTTATACTTGCATTCAGCATAGCTAAGTGGCTCTCTAAAACTCACAGACTGCAAAAGTGCATGCTAAGCAGATGTTCATGGCTTGAATCAATACATGGAGATATAAGAAGAACATGAAATTATCAGTACTCCTAGACAGGAGTTGTACAATGCAATTTGACTCCCTGCCTACTGCCTTTTTGACAACAGGTAAAGAACTTATTTTTGTTGCACTGTGGCCCTGGATCACCTTTTCACCCAACACCATGTTCAGATAACCCAAAAAGTAAAAGTTTATTAATACATAAGGTGTAAAAGGAAAAATGAGATCAAGAGTTCATCCGCTTTTGAAGCAAGGTATCAAAAAGCAATCCACAGAGACTTGAGTTAGATAAAGCAACAAAAAAATACTTAAGCAGGGTATTGTTCAAAAGTTATATCCATAAATGTGAAAACAGGAACACAAGAAAGACAAAATCCAAGAACATCAAGTCATAAACAAAAATCAAACCGATAATCTTGAAATACAGGAACTTGGACTAGAAATTGGGAGTTATTTCCCCTTTTTACAACATTGTTTCCACTAAAGGCCTGAGAGCCCAGAAACCACTTAAAAGGTCTCAGTCCCTCCCATGACATCGCTTCGCATACACCTGCTTTTTCTCTCCTTATCTCTAAGCCTCTGAGAAAAAATGAGTTTGTCTTTGTTTTACATTCTGTCTCCTAATCTCCAAGTGACTCGACCTGGAAAAACCTTCATCTCCCACGTTCTTCTCTGAAGGCCATTCTGGCCATTCTCATGGGAACTGATATCACTTTCTCCCATTTCTCCAAAACCTCTTTCTCCAGGCCCCTGCTATCTTCCACAGACTCCTAGGAAATTACAGGTTGCAACCCATCATCCTCTTCCTCATCCTCTGAGCATTCAGAAAACTCATCCAATGCTTGTCAGGCTACAATATTTTTACACAGAGATTCAGCCCTTAACTGGTTGAGGAGTGCAATGGACATGTTTGCTTAACCTAAGTTGGTGGCCACCACTACATCTTGTGGTAGCATATTCTACAACTATGCAATGTCTGACAAAATACTTCTCTTTCAAAACAATTACTTATATCATAATATCTTCACATTCTAACCCCCCTGTCTCCCCTCTATTGGCATTCAATAAGATGAGACAGGCTTAAGAAAACATTGAGAATACAAAATGCTTTCCTCAACCCAGCACCTCTGAGATATCACAGAAATAATTCCCCAACATACTCAGTATGACAGCGCGAGTGGTGCCACCTATATGTAGAACTGTAAGTTGTAGGATTTGAACTGTTGTATCATGCCTGATTTTGCCTTTTTACCCTGTAAATGTATAGTTGGATTGATTGGTTATTTATAGCTGTCAGTCAATGTTGCTTGCACCAGTTGAATTGCTCTTCCTGCTCAATTGTTTGACCCCCACCTCTTCCTAGAGAGCAGGACAGTGTTTCCTTTTCCATTCCACCATCAAACTTTCTATCAGATGGACATGAGAGAGAGACTTGGCTCTGAAGCCCTTGATTAAGTTACCTCTCATTACCAATTCTGAGGTTCTTACCCTTGAGACTTATGCTTCATGTTCAGATCAACCTGGACGACGTTGAGTAGTCTCAAGCGCCTTCAAACCAGTTCTTTGGCACCAGAGCAAGGCTTTGTGCCTTCAAAATATAGGCCATTGGAATTGTGGTTGTGATTATTCCAATATTCACAGCCATTGAGAAAGAGGGACCTGGAAAAGCTTCTCAGCTGCAAAACTCCTTGGAGCCAAGACAACCAGAGACTGTAATGTATGTTTTCCTTTACCCCTTTGAAACTTCCAACCTATTGCCTTAAAGGGGTAACTCTTTGTGAACAGTTAAACTTATTTTGAGTTATCTACAGTGTTTTGGTCTTGGGAGTTCCAGTTTCCTAAAGGAGGGCAAGAAGCAATCCCCTGGGGAGAGATGTCACGTCCATGCCTCTTTCACTAAGAGTTAAAGCCCCCAGGAGCGACGGTACACTCAGTCATCAGAAGGAAGGGAGTGATGAAAGATGTAGCCTGTAGTGTATGGAGTTGGGGAAGACTAACTTTTAAAGTTCTGTCATCAAGACCCAGATAGCTTTTTCTAAGTATTAGAAGAGGATAAGAAGACACCAAATGGATTTCAAATGACTGATTGATTGTTTTTATACTGTTTTTATTGTTTTATACTGTTTATACTGTTTTATACTGTTATTATATTGCTGTTAAATTGAGTGTTTATGTTTTTGATGTGGGCACCATGGGGTGACGATTTGTTAGCCGTCCTGAGTCCCTCTGTGGAGGTTGAGATAGGACGGGATATAAAAGCCTGAAATAAATAATTTCTAAGTTGTTGAGATTTAAGGTAATAGGAGTGAATTTCTTTCTCAGGGCTCCTCCAGACAGGGCCAAATTCCATGCCAAAGCGGGTTTTAAAAACCCACTTTGGCACAGATTCCCATCTCTACTCCCCCAAAAAACCCTGGGCTTTTCCGGAGGGGGTGGGTGGCTACATGCAATTCCAATTCCAATTGGGATGACATATAGCCACCCCACCTGGTGTGAGGAAATTACGTGCCAGGAGGCTGGGGTTGGGGGGGGGGGGAATAAAATCCCTCCTCCCTTCCCCAGTCCATCCCAAAAAACTGAAATGGCTATGTGGATTGGGTCTGGGAATCGCATGACATGGGCTCAATCCACACAGGGCCCACACCTGGTAAGACCTGGATCTTACCCTGAAATCCAGATCTTACCTAGTAAGATCTGGATTTTAGGGTAAGATCCAGGTCTTACCAGGTTTAATTAATTTGGAACAAACCCTGGTTTGTTCTGAATTAATTCGGTTTTACTGGAGGTGTCATTTGAATGCTTATGGTAAAACCGAGACAAGTCCTGGTTTTTGGGCCTGTCTGGATGGGCCCTCAGATTTTGTGGAAGGTGGCACACCAAGGTCAAATAAAGTGAGAATAAGCTTTCAGGAAATTCAGGAAATCAAGAGCGGTTTGACAGTCTAGAGGCATATAATATATTATTAAATGTACCTTGTGTCATTGGCTCTGTTTCATCTGTCACATGGGGTGAAACTTCAGGCAGGGCATCTGTGGCAGCAGGAGGCATTGGTGAAGCCTCTGAAATAGATGCATCTTCTCTTTCTGACTCTGGTATCACATCCTCATAAGCCTCTGATAGATCCTTGGTGTGTTCTATTAACTCAGCATCTGGCAACAGGTCTTTCTCTGGACCATCTGAGACTGGATGAGGAGGTGGCCCTGAACTATCCCCATGGATCTGGCTCCTCTCTTCAAATTCCCCCGAGGGCAAGCCACTGACCGAAGGTACTCCAGATGTTTCTGAGTAGCTTTCAGGCAATGCAGAGGTTTCACTATCTACTTCGTAAATGGTTGACACTTCTAAGTGACTTTCTGGCAAGGCTGATGTTTCACCACTCAGTTCATGAACAGTTGAAGTTTCAACGCCAGTTTCATGGAATGTGGAAGTTTCACCACTAATATCATGATATTCAGGAGATTTTAGGGTACTTTCAGGATATGCAGAAGTCTCTCCACTAGCTGTGGAGGCTTCTCCACTTGAGTCAGTAAAGTGAAAATATGTGGCCTCTGTTCCTCCTCCCAGTTCCTGTGAAACTGCTGGACTTGTTACAGCTTCTACTAGATCCGAAGTCATTAAGGTGATTTCTGGGAGTCCAGAAGCATCACCACTAGTACTACCTACAGTTGAAGACTCTCCATTTATATCAGTGACAACTGCAACTTCTCCACTAAAATATGGAACACCTGATGATGTTCCGCTGATGTCAAATGTCCCTGATGGTAATCCACTAGCTGTTGTCACACCATATATTTCTCCAGATGTTTCCCTCTCTCCTGAAGGGAAACCACTGACTTCTAAGATCCCAGATGTCCCTTCTCCTAATTCTTGGGCAACAGATGGCTGTGTTACAACTTCCACCAAAGTTGTATCCACAAGAGAGATTGTAGGAAATCCAGATGAGAGCCCACTATAATCATAAATTCCAGATGACAAACCACTGGTGAGGCTCACACCAGAACTTTCCCCACTCATGTCCGTTAGTCCACTTGGAATTCCACTGCCTTCATGGACTCCTGAAATCCATCCACTGTAATCTATTTGTCCAGAAGGTTGACCACTCACATCCCAAATTCCAGACACTGTGCCTGATAGATCTTCATCTCCCGAAGGCAATCCACTTATTTCTACAAATCCCTTCCCTTCTTCTTCTTTAGTTGAAGAAGTCGTTGTCACTTCAAATAAATTAGAATCTATGAAGGTAACTCCTGAAGTCTCGCCACTTTCATCAGTTCCAGAACCTCGACCACTTAAGTCCACAAAACCACTTAGATCAGGTATCCCCAAAGGCGCTCCGCTGAAGTCAATTCCTGAGGATAACCCACTGCTATCTGGTAGACCAGAGGATTGTCCACTGATATCAAGTCCTGATGATAATCCACTGATATCTGGTATCCCGGATAGCTCCCCACTGATATCAAGTCCGGAGGACAGCCCACTGATGTCAGGGATTTCACTGACATCTACTCCTGAGGGCAATCCACTAATGTCCCACTCAGCCGATGGAAAGCCCGATAAGTCTCCATCTCCACTGACTCCAATTGTCCCTTTCCCTTCCATTTCTCTTTCCGTTGCTGTGGTTACAACTTCCACCAAAGTGGCATTCACAAGAGACACAGTAGGGAATCCAGATGTCAAACCACTGTAATCATATTCTCCGGATGGCAAACCACTGAAAAGATCAGTGCCAGATCCTTCTCCACTCATTCCAGAAGGCAATCCACTGATTTCTGGGATCCCTTTGCCTTCTTGAAGTCCAGGAATTCGTTGGTGGATTTCTGGGCCAATTCCTGATAATTCTTCATCACCAGAAGATAAGACGACTTCAATAATGCCAGAAGAAAGGCCACTTGTATCTCCTGATGGGAGTCCACTCTCTCCAGAAGGAAGTCCACTTAAATCTGGGATTCCAGAAGGAAATCCACTTTCTCCAAATCCTGAAGGTTCTCCACTAATTTCAGGGATTCCACTTATATCTGGCACTCCAGAGGTCCATCCAGAGACAGATGTCTCTGTTATTGGAGCTTCTGCACTTGTTTCTTCAGGTATTTCATAAATAGTAGGAACGGCCGATGGACTTGCTTTAACAAAGAAGTGTGGGGGAGAAAAAAAAGAGAACTTATTTTTAAAAAAGTTCAAAGAAGCAGTGAAAATATACAATACAAAAGGAAAGTTGACCTTTTAAAGCCATGGCTGCAGGAAGAAAGCTCTGAGAACAGGAAATATTTCACTGAAGAGTTGCTTCTTTTTGCAGAGCTTCTGAGCTACCTACATTGTTGACACAAAACCACTCTCACCTCACTGCTCTCAATGTCCAAGGAGAGAAATGGTGTGATACTCCAGGTATTGTTTCCAAAAAAAGGGAATGCTGGGAGAGAAAGTCCAATATCTGGAAGTCTATTTAAGCTCTCCCCTTGTGCTTGTCCTGTGGTGAAATGCAGTATGTGTTTTGGTGCAAACTCATTGACAGATTCATATGCGCCTTCAAATTAACTCCAACTTAAGGGGACTCTATCCTCCAGTTTCTTGGCCAGATTTCTCCAGAGGAGATGTGCTCTTGCCCCTTACAGATTTGACAAAGTCACCCAATTAGTAGAATGGGGATTCAATAATAATAATAATAATAATAATAATAATAATAATAATAATAGGTTCTTGTGGGTTTTTTCGGGCTATAGGGCTATGTTCTAGAGGCATTTCTCCTGACGTTTTTCCTCCTGCATCTATGGCAAGCATCCTCAGAGGTAGTGACCTACCTCTGAGGATGCTTGCCATAGATGCAGTGAAACGTCAGGAGAATGCCTCTAGAACATGGCCCTATAGCCCGAAAAAACCCACAAACCTAGTGATTCCAGCCATGAAAGCCTTCGACAATACAATAAATAATAATAATAATAATAATAATAATAATAATACTGCAAAGACTCTGGCACAAGCCAGTCAAGGTGGTCCCAGTGATGATCGGCACACTGGGTGCAGTGCCTAAAGACCTTGGCCTGCACTTAAACACAATCGGTGCTGACAAAATTACCATCTGCCAGCTGCAAAAGGTCACCTTACTGGGATCTGCACGCATTATTCGCCGATACATCACACAGTCCTAGACACTTGGGAATGTCCGACGTGTGATCTTGTTTGCTGTGGACTCATCTTGTCGTGTTCAATAATAATAATAATAATAATAATAATAATAATAATAATAATAATAATATAGATTAGGTAAAGGGTTCCCCCTGACATTAAGTCCAGTTGTGTCCGATTCTGGGGGGGGGGGGGTGGTGCTCATCTTCGTTTCTAAGCCAAAGAGCTGGCGTTGTCCATAGGCACCTCCTAGGTCATGTGGCCCACATGACTTCATGGAGTGCTGTTAACTTCCCGAAGAAGCAGTACCTAGTGATCTACTCACATTTCCATGTTTTCGACCTGCTAGGTTGGCAGAAGATGGGACTAACAGTGGGAGCTCACCTTGTTCCCTAGATTCAAACTGCTGACCTTTCAGTCAGCAAGTCCAGCAGTGGTTTAACCCACTGTGGTTTAACCCACTGTGCCACTTGGGGCTCTTCAATAATGATGATAACAATAATAATATACTTTATATTCTGCTCTATCTCCCCGAGGGGACTCAGAGCAGATTACAGGTACATAGAGCATACATTCAATGCCATTATACAATTGACAGAGACAGACAGTACATAAACAGAGGCAAGGCTTCTCTCTTTACAGTACTGTACCCAAATACCGGTCCCACCTTATTTCAATTTGTATCAGTCTTAACCCAACCTTTTCCATGCCCTAACAAATAGACATGAAGAGCAGGTGGTGTATGTGTGTGTGTGTGTGTGTGTGTGTGTGTGTGTGTATGTATGTGTGTGTGTGTGTGTGTGTGTATATATATATATATATATATATATATATATATAATATTGATGTGTTGTTGGGTAATTTATGTTGCTGTTACTGTTCATGTTGTGACTCTGTATATTTTGATGTTGTTGCTTGGAAACTGCCCTGAGTCCCCCCGGGGAGATAGAGCAGTGTATAAATAAAGTTTATTATTATTATTATTATTATTATTATTATTATTATTATTATTAATATTAATATTTATCTCTTGCATCTGGCTGTGCTCGACTCATCCATGGGGAGTAGCTCTTGCTTCATTTTTCCATACCGAGGAGCTGTCGTCCATGGACGCTTTCCTGGTTGGAGTTTTGCCAGCATGTTTTTCAGGGCGCCTTCTACCTCCCTGCCAAAGCAGTACCTATTTATCTACTTACATTATTGTTTTCGAACTGCTAGGTGAGCAGAAGCTGGGCTGATTGCAGGAGCTCACCCCAAGCCTCGCTTGAATTACTGACCTTCTGGTCGGAAGGATCTTCTATAGCTGGCAGTTTAACCTGCTGTGCTAGCCCGGCCCAGATTCAAATTCTAGTCTTCTACTCAAACTGACTCTTATAATAAATTATTGGAAACCTTCTACTTTCATAATGGAGTGATATTTCCATTATAAAGATGCTTGCAACTGTGAGAGGGAAACCACATCATTCCTTGGTATGTCTGCTCCTGGACCTGCCTGGAATTCATAGGCACAAAATATTGGAATGGGTGGCTATCATACAGATCAGACCTATGTATGCTGGCCCTGTACAAATCTACCATCCGAACGATAGATACTGATTTACGCTATATCTGAACAGTGTTTAACCATGCAGCTTGACTTACCAGTTAGCAATGACATATTTGTTGGAAATACTTCTGCCCCCCACTCAGTCTGATTTTCAGAGTCAGTGGCAAACTCAATTTCCACGGTTGTTTCTTCCCCAGAAGGGACTTCCTCGACTCCAGGGACCAGCTGAGCTGAAATGAGATCCTCTTCTATGTCTTCGTACAGGGATGGCAGAGCTGGAAGACGAGAATTACAGTTGGTCATGTTCAAGTCAGAGGGGCGTCAGGGTATTATATGGTCATATTTTAATGCAAGTCTCAATCTCTATAGTGGAATATTCTCAATGTTTCCTCTGTGGCATTTTACCTTCATCCCCACAACATCCTAGAACAATGTTAGCTTTGGGAACTTTGGATAATTAATAGTCTTTGTTACATCGATACACACCCATTTAATAGACTCAAAGCCAACCTTAAAAACTCTGGCATAGGCACTGAGAAGTGGGAAACCCAGACCCTTGAGCGCTCCAGCTGGAGGTCAGCTGTGACCAGCAGTGCTGTAGAATTTGAAGAGGCACAAATGGAGGGCAAAAGGGAGAAACGTGCCAAGAGGAAGAGGCGTCAAGCCAACCCCAACCGGGACTGTCTTCCACCTGGAAACCAATGCCCTCACTGTGGGAGAAGATGCAGATCAGGAATAGGGCTCCACAGTCACCTAGGACATTGACCTTGGAGGACTATCCTACTCGGACAATGAGGGATCGCCTAAGTAAGTAAGTAAGTAAGTAAGTAAGTAAGTACACACTCATTAGGAAGAATAAAAAATTCATTGCTAGAAGAGGGTGGAAACAGAAGAATGGTCTGCCTCAGGGGAGTGTGCTTGCTCCAACAATGTTCAACATTTACACAAATGACAACCATTGCCAGAAGGGATTGAGAGTTTCATCTATGCTGATGATTGTGCCATCACTGCTCAAGTAGGGAGTTTTGAAATGGTTGAACAGAAGCTCTCTGAAGCTTTAGGTGCTCTTACTGCCTATTACTGGGAAAACCAACTGATTCCTAATCCATCTAAAACACAGATGCGTAGTTTTCATCTTAACATCAGGCAAGCATCTCAAGCTCTGAGGATGACCTGGGAAGGAATCCCACTGGGGCATTGAAGCATACCAAAATACCTGGGAGTTACGCTGAACCAGACTCTGACTTATAAGAACCACTGTTTGACTATCAAGCAGAAAGTGGGTGGTAGAAATAATATCATACGAAAGCTGACTGGCACAACCTGGGGATCACAACCAGACACAGTGAAGACATCTGTCCTTGCACTTTGCTACTCTGCTGCTGAATATGTATGCCCAGTGTGGAATACATCTCACCACGCTAAAACAGTGCATGCGGCTCTTAATGAGACATGCTGCATTATCACGAGGTGTCTGCGCCCTAAACCACTGTCTAGCCAATATTGCACCACCTGACACCCACCGGGAAGTAGCAACCAATAGTGAAAGGACCAAGGCAGACACATCTCCAGCTCATCCCCTGTTTGGGTATCAGCCAGCACGTCAATGACTTAAATCAAGAAATAGTTTTCTAAGATCTACAGAGACACTCACTGGAACACCTCAGCAAGCAAGAGTCAAAAAATGGCAGGCTCAAACCCAGCACCTCAACCAATGCCTGATCCCAAATGCGAGACTCCCCCCTGGGCACACAGAAGACTAGGTGACTTGGAAGGCGCTAAACAGACTGTGCTCTGGCACCACGAGATGCAGAGCCAACCTCAAGAAATGGGGCCACAAAGTGGAATCCTCGACATGCGAGTGTGGAGAAGAGCAAACCACTGACCACCTGCTGCAATGCAACCTGAGCCCTGCCACAACACCAGAGGCACTCCAAATGGCCAGATGCTGGTCAAAGGACATTTAACCAACTACCAAACTCACAAATTTTGTGTTTTGTCTGTTTGTTTGTTTTGTTCTGTTAGAAATGCAATACAATTGACTGGTTGCCCTGACATGACAAATAAATTGGGAAAAATCAATTCCTGATCCCTCAATACAAAAGTCCAAAGGGGATAGTCGATGCAGCCATGCTCTCTGATAATCAAAACGTCCAGAAGTTTCAGCTGTGCAAGCTTTGGCCCCACTCCAGCACCGTCCTACACCCTGGGCAGCTTGAAAAGGTTTTTGATGTCTACTTCACAAGCATCCCGCGTAGCTTTCGGAGGACGTTTCTTGTGAAATTTAGCACCTGAGGGGGAAAACTCTTCATGTCTAGTGTTTGAAAAAACTACTCTTGCTTATATTATTAAATGAGGGCAGGCATCCTCCTAACGATAGTTGTGTAGAAGAGGAAATTTCACCAGGCTCAGCCACTCCTGCTGAAATTTTGTCTTCTACACAGCTATCAAATGTACATGAGCTAGCTCAGGCCATGGGCAAACTTTGGCCCTCCTGGTGTTTTGGACTTCAACTCCCACCATTCCTAACAGCCTCAGGTATTTACATTATGATTCATAACAGTAACAAAATTACAGCTATGAAGTAACAATGAAAATAAGACTCCCTTTGGGAAATTTCATTTGAAACTTGGCATTGCAGCTTGGATGACAGATATTGACAAGCTGGAATGTGTCCAGAGGAGGGCGACTAAAATGATCAAGGGTCTGGAGAACAAGCCCTATGAGGAGCGGCTTAAGGAGCTGGGCATGTTTAGCCTGAAGAAGAGAAGGCTGAGAGGAGATATGATAGCCATGTATAAATATGTGAGAGGAAGCCACACGGAGGAGGGAGCAAGCTTGTTTTCTGCTTCCTTGGAGACTAGGACGCGGAACAATGGCTTCAAACTACAAAGGAGATTCCATCTGAACATGAGGAAGAACTTCCTGACTGTGAGAGCCATTCAGCAGTGGAACTCTCTGCCCCAGAGTGTGGTGGAGGCTCCTTCTTTGGAAGCTTTTAAACAGAGGCTGGATGGCCATCTGTCAGGGGTGATTTGAATGCAATATTCCTACTTCTTGGCAGAATGGGGTTGGACTGGATGATGGCCCAGGAGGTCTCTTCCAACTCTTTGATTCTATGATTCTATGATTCTATCACAGCTAAACACACACTGGCAACAATGTGAGGTCATTAGTGTGATTTATGGTCGCCCTAGACATATAGATATTCTCATTGATCATCTTGAACAGGAGATACATCTATGATTACAGAATATATGACATAACAAAGGGAAACAGAGATCCTACCTTTAAAACAAAAGGCATGATGCTTTGATTGCGGGTCAGGGAACCCCGTCTGATTGTGGTGCAAGTAGATGGTCCTCACTCCAGGTTTGTCCCCACCGCATCCAGGACGGGGGTTGGCGATGGGGTATCGGAGGCTGCCGTCAGCCAGCCAGCTGGCACGGCAGTTGTCTAGGCCAAGTTTCCAGGCAGCATACAGTTGTCCAGCAGAAGCCAGAGTGGCATTCTGGCTCTCACAGTATTCTTGGGCTTCCAGGAAGGTAAACTGCTCCAGCTGGGTTGCAAAGAAGACCTCACCTAGGCATTAAAAGAGGTTCCATAAGTTCTAGGCTCAAGCTTGCATAGGTCTGACCTAGCTGCATGTGCACCCCATATTTAGATGAAGAATTCCCTACCCTACCCAGATACCCCAAAAGGACACTCACCATTCAGTTTATCAATATAGCAGTATACATCAAACATCTCCGATGCGGGGCGCATACCATATGTCCGCACCCCTGGGATGTCTTCCTTGTCACCTTCACATTTGTTTCGGGGAAACACAATGGGGTACCTGACCAATAAGCATAAGGGAGAATCATTTTTATTGAGCATCTCAAGTATCTCTCCCTAGTTGTTGAAAAAAAATAATGTTCCAAACCAGGTAAACTTTGGCCCTCAGGGTGTTTTGGACTTCAACTCTCATAATTCCTAATAGCCGGTAGTTGAAGTCCAAGACACCTGAGGGCCCAAGTTTGTCTGTGGCTGTTCTAAACCATCATGTGTCTTGGTCTGAATGGTAGCAGTGATACTGTATTGCACAGAAGGCATACTTATCTGCATCAAAGGCAAGCTCAGCCTGTTGTAATTTAAAGAATTTAGAGCAGTGCTGTGAGTTGACAACTTCAACACAAACGTTTTGTGTGGACCAGAGAAGGGTGCTTCAGTAGATGGTACTGGCTCCAAATTGCAGGAATTGCCCAGCCAAAATGAACACAACAGACTTTAATTGACAGATTAGAGAGATGGGCCAAAACTAACAAAATGAAGTTCAGCAGTGACAAATGCAAGATACTCCACTTAGGCAGAAAAAACGAAATGCAAAGATACAGAATGGGGGATGATGAGGCCTGGCTCGAGAGCAGGACGTGTGAAAAAGATCTTGGAGTCCTCGTGGACTGGCCATCCAGTCCAACTCCATTCTGCCAAGAAGCAGGAATATTGCATTCAAATCACCCCTGACAGATGGCCATCCAGCCTCTGTTTAAAAGCTTCCAAAGAAGGAGCCTCCACCACACTCCGGGGCAGAGAGTTCCACTGCTGAACGGCTCTCACAGTCATGAAGTTCTTCCTCATGTTCAGATGGAATCTCCTCTCTTGTAGTTTGAAGCCATTGTTCCATTGCGTCCTAGTCTCCAGGGAAGCAGAAAACAAGCTTGCTCCCTCCTCCCTGTGGCTTCCTCTCACATATTTATACATGGCTATCATATCTCCTCTCAGCCTTCTCTTCTTCAGGCTAAACATGCCCAGCTCCTTAAGCCGCTCCTCATAGGGCTTGTTCTCCAGACCCTTGATCATTTTATTCACCCTCCTCTGGACACATTCCAGCTTGTCAATATCTCTCTTGAATTGTGGTGCCCAGAATTGGACACAATATTCCAGGTGTGGTCTAACCAAAGCAGAATAGAGGGGTAGCATGACTTCCCTAGATCTAGACACTATGCTCCTCTTTATGCAGGCCAAAATCCCATTGGCTTTTTTGCCGCCACATCACATTGTTGGCTCATGTTTAACTTGTTGTCCACGAGGACTCCAAGTCTTTTTCACATGTACTGCTCTCGAGCCAGGCATTGTCCTCCATTCTGTATCTTTGCCTATGTCTTCCAAGGAAGTGTAACCCTGCCCAGTGCAGGCTGTAACCCTATACCCTGTTTGACCTTACGACTGACCAGGAGTACCTCCGTCTTGTCTGGATTCAATTTCAATTTGTTCACCCTCATCCAGACCATCCCAACTGCCAAGCACTGGTTCAGGACCTGCAGAGCCTCCTTAGTAGCAGGTGGAAAGGAATGATAGAGTTGTGGAATCACACTCCATTCTCACCTGACCGTCTGGTCCCTCAGCCAGCCAGCATCACACTGGTCATAGCCATCTTCATAGGCGGCCTGTAGTTGTTCAGGAGTGGCAATGACAGCATGATTATCCAGGCAAGCTTGCTGAGCTTTGACAAAGGTCAGGGAGTATCTGTTGGTGGATGGTCGGTAATGAAAGATAACACCTGGCAAAGAGAGAGAGAAAAGAAAGAAAAAGATGAAAGGCTCAAAAAGGGCAGGAGTTTATTCATTCGCACTGTGCCAAAATGTCAGTAGTTTCCAAAGACTATTGCAGAGAGAAGAAAATAAATGAAAAATGCTCATTGCTCACTTGGGAAAGATAAGAAAATATGTATTGTCGAAGGCTTTCATGGCTGGAATCACTAAGTTCTTGTGGGTTTTTTCGGGCTATATGGCCATGTTCTAGAGGCATTTCTCCTGACGTTTCGCCTGCATCTATGGCAAGCATCCTCAGAGGTGAGGTCTGTTGAAACTGGAAAAAAGGGTTTATATATCTGTGGAATGACCAGGGTGGGACAAAGGACTTTTGTCAGTTGGGCTAGGTGTGCATATTTCAACTGACCACCTTGATTAGCATACAATGGGCTGACTGTGAGGATGAGGAAACACAACATACGAACCACCTACAGACCTACTAAGAAAATCCAACAAATGCTATGTTCAGCAAAGAGGGATCCTCTCAGCTCTGCAGGAGTCTCCCGTGTACCATGCAGCTGTGGACAAGTCTACATAGGGACCACCAAACGCAGCATTACCCAAACACGAATCAAGGAACATGAAACTACTCCAACCAGAGAAATCAGCCATAGCAGAGCACCTGATGAACCAACCTGGACACAGCATTTTATTTGAGAACACAGAAATGCTGGACCACTCTCACAACCACCATGTCAGACTACACAGAGAAGCCATTGAAATACACAAACATGTGGACAATTTCAACAGAAAGGAGGAAACCATGAAAATGAACAAGATCTGGCTACCAGTATTAAAAAATTCTAAAATTGCAACAGCAAAAACAGCAGAGAGGAAACAGGCAGGGACATCTAATTACCTTTCAAGAAGAGTTTGCTCCAGGCACAGTCAGCCCATTGTATGCTAATCAAGGTGGTCAGTTGAAATATTCACACCTAGCCCAACTGACAAAAGTCCTTTGTCCCACCCTGGTCATTCCACAGTTCCTTTTCCACAACCCTTTTCCCCAGTTCCAGCAGACCTCACCTCTGAGGATGCTTGCCATAGATGCAGGCGAAACGTCAGGAGAAATGCCTCTAGAACATGGCCATATAGCCCGAAAAAACCCACAAGAACTTAATGACATGGATGTTGCAAACTTACCTGTAGGTGAAATGGGCTGGCTGGGAACGAGGGCAATGTCAGGAGCAGCTGTCCATGGCACGATCTCCTCCTCCACGGTGAATGGCAAGGCAGACTCCGGCCCTGGTGTTTCGGTAGCCCACAAGGTCTCTTCTACTGAGCTCACCTCTGGGGTCTCCGTGGTGAAAAGGACATCCAGGACTGAAACAGTGGCGTTTTCGAGGTCCTCCCAAATTCCTACCTCAGTCGCATTCTCCGTCTCATTCACAAAGCCAATAGTAGCAAAGAGATCAGGAGTGGCCGTGAAGCCTTCCTCCACCTCTGAGGCAGTGGCTGTAAAATCTATTGGCTCCAAGGTTGCGATGCTTCCCCGGGCTTCTTCCTCTGTTACATTTCGTGGAAATTCCAGCTCTACGTCAACATCGGTGACTGTCTGGATGGTGAAGCCACTGCCCAGTTCATCTATGATCACATCGGTGAAGTTTTCATGGATGATTGTACCCAAGTCACCATCTAGAACAGGAGGAAAATGTTGGACTAATAAAAGAACAGAAGATGGAGAAATCCTTTCTTTTGGGCTAGATCCAGGTTTGAAGGCACTCTGAAGACCATGCAAATCTGGTGGTCCTAATGCTGTGACTCCTTCATACAGTTCGTCATGTTGTGGTGACCCCCCAACCATAAAATTATTTTTGTTGCTACTTCATAACTGTAATTTTGCTACTGTTATGAATTATAATGTAAATATCTGATATACAAGATGTATTTTCATTCACTGGACCAAATTTGGCACAAATACCCAATATGACCCAAAATGAATACTGGTGGGGTGGGGGTGATTTTGTCATTTGGGAGTTGTAGTTGCTGGGATTTATAGTTCACCTACAATCAAAGAGCATTCTGAACTCCACCAACGATGGAATTGAACTAAACTTGGCACACAGAACTCTGAAAAGGTTTGGTGAGCATTGGCCTTGAGTTTTGGTATTGTAGTTCACCTACATCCAGAGAGCACTGTAGACTCAAGCAATGATTGATCTGGACCAAGCTTGGCATGAATTCTCAATTTGCCCAAATGTGAACACTAGTGGAATTTGGGGGAAATGGATCTGACATTTGGGAGTTGTAGTTAATGGGATTTATAGTTCACCTACAATCAAAGAGCATTCTGAACTCCACCAATAATAGAATTGGGCCAAACTTCCCACACAGAACTTCCATGGCCAACAGAAAATACTGGAAGGGTTTGGTGGGCATTGACCTTGAGTTTTGGAGTTGTAGTTCACCTACACCCAGAGAGCACTGTGGACTCAAACAATGATGGATCTGGACTGATCTTGGCACAAATACTCAATATGCCCAAATGTGGGGAAATGGATCTTGACGTTTGGGAGTTGTAGTTGCTGGGATTTATAGTTAACCTACAATCAAAGAGTATTCTGAACTCCACCAATGATGGAACTGAACCAAACTTGGAACACAGAACTACCATGACCAACAGAAAATACTGTGTTTTCTGATGGTCTTTGACGACCCCTCTGACACCTCCTTGCGACCCCCCAGGTCCCAACCCCCAGGTTGAGAAACACTGATGTAAGGATTCCATGAAGCACTGTTTCTGAAGCACATGGAAACAGAGCCCGAAGACCGTCTTCAAACTGGAGAAAGTGGGGAGAAGACAGGGAAAGGTGCAAATACCTGATATACACATACCTGATGGTCTTTGGCAACCCCTCTGACACCCCCTCGCAACCCCGAGGGGTCCCAATCCCCAGGTAGAGAAACACTGCTCTATTAGATGTGGTGGGTGATTTGGGTGCCATGATTACATGTAATTTCATGTAGTCATCCTAAGCATTAATAAACATCTGAGTCTAATACAGGCATGTGCAGACATTTCTTAATATGACAAAATGCTTTAAAATGTGCACGTTGAAGGAAAATGCCTACCCAAAAAAGCATATTTAGCAGCAAATGCAAAAAAATGTTTTCATATTTTGGAAAAATACACAAAAACACATATTTTATGGGAAATGTGTGCAATATAATTGTGAACATTGACAAGGGATGAGATAGGCTCATGCCTAGACACATCAGGTCATTTGGACAGCTCTGCCCATATGCTCACCAGTATAGCAGATGGCATCGTAGCGCGAGTGGGGGTAAGGATACCCTGTCTGGTTGACATAGAGGTACACCGTGCGAACTCCCACCAAGTTGCCACCGCAAGTGGGCCGTGCCTTGTTGATGGGATACCGAACGCTGCGGTCCGCCAGCCAGCCGGCGCTGCAAACATCCATGCCATCTTTCCAGGCAAGGTACAACTCTCCCGTTGTGGCCAAACGGGCACCAAGGCTATGGCATTTCTCTGCAGCTTCTGGGAAGGTGAACTTCTCCGGGGAAGTGGCATAGAAGACTTTACCTGCAAGCATCAAATAGAAAGCATGCACCCTTTTACTAATACACTTATATCCTTCTAATACTGTATTGTTATCTTATACACACTTATGCACCTATGGAGAGGAGGAATGTCCGATCACCGTCTCCCAAAGCAGTTACTATACTCCCAACTCAAGAAAGGGAAATGAAATTGTGCTGGTACAGCTGTACTAGGAGCTCCAACTTTATTTTCTTTCTGTTATCTGTTTGCAGTCATAGGGCAGGCCTCCTGTCCATCATAATTAAGCTTTGGTTCCACCCCTTGTTCAGGGCTCTGGGAGAGAAAGGAGCCATTTTTTGGGCAGTCTCACACAAGGAAGCTATACTATAGGACGTAGACCAGCTTGTCCTGTAGAAAAGCTTCTTTACTCAAGAACATCCAGGGAAACAGAAATTCCAGGAAAAAGGTCCCAAGGCTCTGGGTGAGAACTCACAGCCTCTCAGCCTCACAGCAATCGGAGGGAAAACAGCCCTGAAGTTCTCAAAGAATTCTCTGAGGGAGGACATCATTACAGATCCGCGGAACTCCAGCTGAAATATCTGGTGGTGGGTCTACTCGATACCCAGATGCATTTGGAATCGGTAGTAGGACCCACACCAATGAGGCATAGATAGTAAACAGCCTGGAGAGGTTAAATAGGTTTTTTTTTCCTACAGAAAAAGTACAGTTAATTAAAGTCAGGTGCCAGTCCATTGAGGACTAGACTAACTGGGTGTTGGGGTTCAGCCTGAGTTTGAACTTGAACCTGATTCTCTGTTTGTTCCTCCTGATGCTAATGAAAGTATATTTACTGATGCTAGTGGAAATGTACCTTTTGATGCCAATGCTCCTGAAATTAGTGAGGAAGAAACTGCTGTAGGTTTGGAAAATGCCAATGTTCCTGAAATTAGTGAGGAAGGAACTTCTGTAGATTTGGAAAATGAAAGTACCAGTGTTCATGAGAATGTTTCAGAGGGAGACCTTGAACTTTCCCTCCCTTCTGCACCTGTTAACTGTAATGACAACAGAAGGGGCCAAATTTGGGAAGACAGAAGTAAATCACTCAGTTTGCGTCGATCCTCCCGAATTCAAGAATTAAAAACATTGGCTTCAAAAAAGAAGGGCGGTTCACGGAACCAATTCTTGAGTTAATTGCCTTACGCCCGGCTGACTGTCTCAGTTCAGGCATCGTTTCAGAATTGATGAAGACCTTGGCAGTTCTCCCGGTTCCCTGGCCATAGTTTGGGAAGATTTCTAGGATATCAAGTACGGTTAGTGGATTGCTAACAGGTTCCAGTATTTCCCAGTGAGGCTTTTGGTTTTGCTTTGTCCATTTAAATTCATGTTTGCTGATTTTGCTGTGGCTTTTGACTTGCATTTTTCCTTTATTTTGTAACCATTTTTCTTCAATAAAAAAGGATTGTTTTTCACAGCCAAGTGTGGTGGATAGTTATCTTAGGGCCTCGTTCCCTGCTCTGGATTGCAACATAGACTAAGAAAGATTGAAGATTTGTTGTTTGTTCCACAATAAAGACTTTGTTGTATCATTAAAGACTCTAAAGACCATTACTTCAGAAAAATCCCTGAGAACCTCTCTTTGAGTCCCCCTGGCTTCCTGCTGGACTTAAAGTATACGTCCTATAGAAAAGACAGCTGTTACAGGCCCAGCGCGCAACAGAACAGGAATGTTGGAGGATAGAAAAAGAGATTTAAAGATAGCCTTAAAGCCAACCTTAAAAACTGTAGCGTAGACACAGAGAACTTGGAAGCCCTGGCCCTTAAGCGCTCTAGCTGGGGGTCAGTTGTGACCACCTCTGTGCCACCAGGGGATCCTTGTTGGGTTTACCCAACCCCAAAAGTTTATTAGGGTGCAAATACAGCTCCCAACCATTCCAGAGTTGTCCACCCTTGAATTAGAAGATGGTGGTTAAACCACCATAGGTCTGTCTGTCTGTCTGTCTGTCTGTCTGTCTGTCTATCTGTCTATCTATCTATTATTATTATTATTATTATTATTATTATTATTATTATTATTTGATGAAACACAGCAAGATGAATCTACAGCAAACAAGATCACCCTGCTGGCTGTTGTATTGAATTACACATCGGACACTTCCCAAGTGTCTAGGATTGTGTGATGTATCGGCCAATAATGCGTGCAGATCCCAGTAAGGTGGCCTTCTGCAGATGGCAGATGGTAATCTTGTCAGTGCGATTGTGTTTAAGTGCAGGCCAAGGTCTTTAGGCACTGCACCCAGTGTGCCGATCACCACTGGGACCACCTGACTGGCTTGTGCCAGAGGCTTTGCAGTGCGATTTTTAAATACTCATATCGTGTCAGTTTTTCCAGTTGTTTCTCTCCAATTCTGCTGTACCTGGGATTGCAACATCGCCATACTCTTTTTTTTGAGGTCAGGAGTATTGTGCTCCAAAACTCTATCAGTTTAGTTATTATTATTATTATGTATTGTCGAAGGCTTTCATGGCTGGAATCACTGGGTTGTTGTAGGTTTTTTTGGGCTATATGGCCATGTTCTAGAGGCATTCTCTCCTGACGTGCCTGCATCTATGGCAAGCAACCTCTGAAGAGAATGCCTCAAGAACATGGCCATATAGCCCGAAAAAACCTACAACAACCTATGATGATGATGATAATGATGATGATGATTATTATTATCATGATGATGATTATTATTATCTTTATTTATATCCCTCCTTTCCCTCCATGGGGACTCAAGTCGGCTAATATCTGTCCACACTAAACAGTTTACCTTTAAAACTCTATCTATCTATCTATCTATCTATCGATCTACCTACCTACCAGGATCCGCGGTGGTGCAATAGGTTAAACCCTTGTGTTGGTTGAATTCTGACCTGAAGGTCGGTGGTTCGAATCCAGATAGCAGGGTGAGCGCCCATTTGTCAGCTCCAGCTTCTCATGCGGGGATAAGAGAGAAGCTCCCACAGGATGGTAACACATCCAGGCATCCTCTGGGCATGTCTCTGCAGATGGCCAATTCTGTCACACCAGAAGCGACTTGCAGTTTCTCAAGTCACTCCTGACATGATACAAAAATTATCTATCTATCTATCTATCTATCTATCTATCTATCTATCTATCTATCTATATCTCACCCTCTATCTGAACTGCTTTTTACTTTTTAAAAATCTTTATTTTCCACTATGTTCTGCTTTTTAATCTTTTGTGACGGATGTGGGTTCATATCAATGCACAGAAACTTTATCATTCTTTCCAATTCAATAAATCTCATATTCTTTGATGATTCACGAGGAAGAAGGACCAAAGGTGGAAAAGAAAGACATTTTAAAGCTGAATTGAAATTTCTCAGAAAGCAATTTTCCTAGAATTCTTTTTCCAGCTCCCACTCAACCTTTGGTGATTGTGTACAGTTTGGCCTTCAAATTGTTGGTTTCTGATAGATTGTTCTGTACATTCTCTTAACTTGGACCATGCATTGATGTGACGGCCCTGTGGTTGTACTGTAGGGGCATGTAGTTGTTAAATTAGGGAGGGGCATCTGTGGCCCTGAAAATATGTTTGGACGGCAACACCTATTATCCTTCACTGTTCACAAGGTTGGCTAGGATTGATGGGTGTAGATGAAAAATGTCTGCAAAGCCACAGTAGTCTACCTGGTATTAAATAAGCGAACAAAGAATTTACCTTTCATTTCATCGGCATAACAATACACATCATATGTCTCATCTGTTTCTCGAACGCCATATGTTCTCACTCCAGGAAATTCATCCTTGTCACCATAACAACCTTCACGTGGATGGTGCATTGGGTACCTGATTCAGCAAGAGATTGAGAAAGGAAAGAGATTGACTTTGGAGAGGGGGCTGGGTGAGAGAGACAACAAGCACTGAGCAATTCTGGAATGAAAGGAGAATCAGCATTGTATCAAAATTGTCTACACCAGGGTTCCTCAAACTAAGGCCCAGGGGCCGTATGTGGCCCTCCAAGGTCATTTACCCGGTGCTCGCTCAGGGTCAACCTAAGTCTTGAAAGCACATGACAACAACAACAACAATACAACAATAGATACAGTGAAGACATCTGCCCTTGCGCTGTGCTACTCTGCTGCTGAGTATGCATGCCCAGTGTGGAGCACATCTCACCACCCTAAAACAGTGGATGTGGCTCTGAATGAGACATGCCGCATTATCACAGGGTGTCTGCGCCCCACACCACTGGAGAAATTACACTGCTTAGCCGGTATTGCACCACCTGACATCCGCCGGGAAGTGGCAGCCAATAGTGAAAGGACCAAGGCAGAGACATCTCCAGCTCATCCCCTGTTTGGGTATCAGCAAGCACGTCAATGACTTAAATCCAGACATAGTTTTCTAAGATCTACAGAGACACTCGCTGGAACACCTCAGCAAGCAAGAGTCCAAAAGTGGCAGGCTCAAACCCAGAACCTCAAACCTTTTGTATTGTTACCCCAATACCCCCATGCATATGGCATATATTGATGTGAATAAACATAACAGTTTAAATAATGCACCAGTAAGGCCTTCTTGTGGACCACCATGAGAATTTCGGGGGGGGGGGGGGGGGGGGGCTGAAGCCCCTCGAGCCCCCCCCCTCCCTGGCTACATGCCTGCTCCTGGCTGTCAGCCCAGCTCACTGCCCAATAGTTTGAAGACTGGGTCGAGGTGAGCTCCTAGTTGACAGCCCAGCTCAATGCCCGCCTAGCAGATTGAAAGCAGCAATGTGAATAAATAAATATGTAATTTTCTAAGATCTACAGAGACACTAACTGGAACACCTCAGCAAGCGAGAGTCCAAAAGTGACAGGCTCAAACCCAGAACCTCAACCAATGGCTGATACCAAATGAAGGACTCCCCCCTGGACACACAGGAGAAGATTGGGTGACTTGGAAGGCGCTGAACAGACTGCGCTCTGGCACCACGAGATGCAGAGCCAACCTTAAGAAATGGGGCCACAAAGTGGAATCCTCGACATGCGAGTGGAGAGGAGCAAACCACTGACCACCTGCTGCAATGCAACCTGAGCCCTGCCACATGCACAATGGAGGACCTTCTTGCAGCAACACCAGAGGCACTCCAAGTGGCCAGATACTGGTCAAAGGACATTTAATCAACTACCAAACTCACACATTTTGTATTTTCTCTGTTTGTTTGCTTTGTTCTGTTAGAAATGTAATATAATTGACTGGCTGTCCTGACACGAGAAATAAAATAAACAACAACAATCTTATCTCATCACCTAAAAGCAGGCCCACGCTTCACATTGAAATACTTTGTTGTTGTTCATTCGTTCAGTCGTCTCCGACTCTTTGTGACCTCATGGACCAGCCCACGCCAGAGCTCCCTGTCGGCCGTCACCACCCCCAGCTCCTTCATTGAAATACTAAAAAGTTTATATTTGTTAAAATTGTTCTTCATTTTAATTATGGTATTTTTAAAGTGTTTTTGCACTACAAATAAGATATGCGCAGTGTGCATTCTTATCACAGAGTGCTAGGGCAGGTCAACCATTTCAGTTCTCGTTTGCAGGTATTAATTACAATTCATTAAGCAGGCCAGAATGGTGTCTCCAAAATTATTAGGTCTCGTTCATTCCTTCCTTCCATTCAGTTCATTGATACCCACACATATAAAATCCACATTTATCAAATCTTCATATTATATTAATATGACATCTGTCTACAGAAATACTTGCTTACCTGACGGTCTGATCAGACAACCAGCCAGCATCACACTGGTCAAAGCCATCATCATAGGCAGCCTGGAGCTGTTCAGGGGTTGCAATGACCGCACTGTTCTGGATACATGCCTGCTTGGCCTTCTCAAAGTCCAAAGTGTATCGGGTGGAGATGGCTCTATAATGGAACACGATTCCTGGGGGAAAAAACATTCACCAACATACATGTCAGTGGAACTAAAATCAGGTTTTTCTATACAGGTAAGCTAGAAGTCTTAGAAATGAACACCAACCCACAGAGTTGGATATGACTGGACTCATATCCAACTCTGAGGAAAATGTTTACCTTTAATAATAATAATAGTGATGATGATGATGATGATGATGATGATAATGTGTGATTGGTGTGGACTTGGCTTGGACTTTTAAGTGGACATAATGATAATAATGATAATATTAATAATAATTGGCAGCCTGCAGGTAACAGCACTTCATGCAGTGATGCCGGCCACATGACCTAGGAGGTGTTTATGGACAACGCCGACTTGTCGGCTTAGAAATGAACACCAACCCCCAGAGTTGGATATGACTGGACTTAATATCAGGGAAAATATTTACCTTTAATGATGATGATGATGATGATGATGATGATGGTGTGTGATTGGTGTGGACTTGGTTTGGACTTTTAAGTGGACATAATGATAGTAATGATAACATTAATAATAATTGGCAGCCTGCAGGTAACAGCACTTCATGCAGTCATGCTGGCCACATGACCTAGAAGGTGTCTATGGATAGCGCAGGCTCTTTGGCTTAGAAATGAACACCAAACCCCAGAGTTGGATATGATTGGACTTAATATCAGGGGAAAAGCTGGAATGTGTCCAGAGGAGGGCGACTAAAATGATCAAGGGTCTGGAGAACAAGCCCTATGAGGAGCGGCTTAAGGAGCTGGGCATGTTTAGCCTGAAGAAGAGAAGGCTGAGAGCAGACATGATAGCCATGTATAAATATGTGAGAGGAAGCCACAGGGAGGAGGGAGCAAGCTTGTTTTCTGCTTCCTTGGAGACTAGGACGCAATGGAAAATGGCTTCAAACTACAAGAGAGGAGATTCCATCTGAACATGAGGAAGAACTTCCTGACTGTGAGAGCTGTTCAGCAGTGGAACTCTCTGCCCCGGAGTGTGGTGGAGGCTCCTTCTTTGGAAGCTTTTAAACAAAGGCTGGATGGCCATCTGTCAGGGGTGATTTGAATGCAATATTCCTGCTTCTTGGCAGGGGGTTGGACTGGATGGCCCATGAGGTCTCTTCCAACTCTTTGATTCTATGATTCTATGAAAATCTTTACCAATCATCATCATCATCATCATCATCATCATCATCATCATCATCATCATGTGTGATTGGTGTGGACTTGGCTCGGACTTTTAAGTGGACGTAATGATAGTAATGATAACATTAATAATAATTGGCAGCCTGCAGGTAATAGCACTTCATGCAGTCATGCCGGCCACATGACCTAGAAGGCGTCTATGGACAATGCCGGCTCTTCGGCTTAGAAATGGATATGAGCACCATCCCCAGAGTTGGACTTGACTAGAAAGGGGAAACTTTGACCTTAACTCAGCAAGTAAGTCAGAAGGAGGGAGGTGGGGAGAGATAGAGCCTTACCTTTTACTTTGACCTCCACTGTGTCCTGGCTGTCCTCAATGCCATGTATCACTTCACAGCGGTAGATCCCGGTATCGTTGGACCGAAGCGTCTTGATTTCCAGGGTGGCATCGGTGGGTATGGCGGGGTAGTTGGGCAAAGAAACCACCTCCTTGTATGCAGTGTTGATTCTCACATGGCCATCCATGGCCACCAACAAGACCACATCTTTGTCCTCGGATAACTTGCTCCATTTGATTCTCGGGGACAGAGGGGGTGTGAACGGAGAGGTGGTGACGTGCTCCAGTGTGTCAATGTAGTAACAGGGAATGGTCAGAGTTTTTCCAAGGGGGACGCGCAAGGGGGAATGTAAAGGTATGCTCACACTCAATGTGGCACCATGATCTGTTGGTTCCCCAAAAGATGGGGGGGGGGGAAGAGATCAAGAGCATATGTGAGTGACAGACCTTGAAACAATGCATTGAACAATGCAATTAGGCATAACTAGGGGCACAGCTACCACTTTCTGGCAAGTCTAAAATACTAATGTCAGATGAATATAATTTAGTGGTCCAGTTAGAAAGATTTAGACCAGTGGTTCTCAACCTTCCTAATGCCATGACCCCTTAATACAGTTCCTTACTTTGTGGTGACCCCCAACCAGAACATTATTTTCTTTGCTACTCCACAACTGTAATTTTACTGCTGTTATGAATCATCTTGTAAATATCCGATATGCAGGATGTATTTTCATTCAATTGGGACAAATACTCGCTACACCCAAATTTGAATACTGATGGGGTTGAGGGAGGATTGGTTTTGTCATTTGAGAGTTGTAGTTACTGGGATTTCTAGTTCACCTATAATCATTCTGAATTCCACCTAGGATGGAACTGAACCAAACTTGGGACACAGAGCTCCCATGACCAACAGAAAATACTAGAAGGGTTTGGTGGGCATTGACCTTGGCTTTTGGAGTTGTAGTTCACCTACATGCACAGAGCACAGATGCATCTGGACCAAACTTGGCACAAATACTTAATATGCCTGAATGTGGACACTGGTGGGGTTTGGGGAAGATAGATCTTGACATTTGGGAGTTGTAGTTGCTGGGATTTATAGTTCACCTATAATCATTCTGAATTCCACCTAGGATGGAACTGAACCAAACTTGGGACACAGAGCTCCCATGACCAACAGAAAATACTAGAAGGGTTTGGTGGGCATTGACCTTGGGTTTTGGAGTTGTAGTTCACCTACATGCACAGAGCACAGATGCATCTGGACCAAACTTGGCACAAATACTTAATATGCCTGAATGTGGACACTGGTGGGGTTTGGGGAAGATAGATCTTGACATTTGGGAGTTGTAGTTGCTGGGATTTATAGTTCACCTATAATCATTTTGAACTCCACCAAGGATGGAACTGAACCAAACTTGGGACACAGACTCCCATGACCAACAGAAAATACTAGAAGGGTTTGGTGGGCATTGACCTTGGGTTTTGGAGTTGTAGTTCACCTACATGCAGAGAGCACAGATGCATCTGGACCAAACTAGGCACAAATACTCAATATGCCTGAATGTGGACACTGGTGGGGTTTGGGAAAGATAGATCTTGACATTTGGGAGTTGTAGTTGCTGGGATTTATAGTTCACCTAAAATCAAAGAGTATTCCGAACTCCACCAATGACAGAATTGGGCCAAACCTCCCACACGGAACCCCCACTGCCATCAGAAAATACTGTGTTTTCTAATTGTCTTTGGCGACCCCTCTGACACCCCCTCGTGACCCCCCCAGGGGTCCTGACCCCCATGTTGAGAAACACTGATTTAGACTCTGGACTTCATGGTCCTCCAGGTATCCAACTTTACATGGCATTGGATATGGTAAACTAACCCTGAAACATCATAGGGGCCCTCCTGTTCCTTCTACGAATATGGTGGTGGCCTGTCTCCAAATCCTGCCCCAATGGCACCATTCTGCCCAATGCTTCCTTTGTTTAAGGTGAACTCCTGAGAATACATACCTAAAACTTCCACAGAGCTGGCTGCAGTGATGACTTGCAAACACACAAAGGCTAGTAGTAAAGTGGTCATGCTTTTGCTGAAATATACAAAGACAAAAAGAAGTTTGTTGGCAGGCAGATATTCCCCTTTGGATGTGTGTATGGGTGCATCTTTGCATGCAGTGGTTCTGCAGAGGGTGATCTTCCAAGACCTCCAATGAGTGGATGCATTTCACACAGACACTTACACTTGTCTACTGAGTGAAGATCACCTAATTTACCTGTATATATAGTTATAGATATACAGTTGCAGCTGGAGGTTTCCGCATCACCAGGGCAATGGACCCATTCTGGATTTTAGCTTGAAAATGAATGGAGCTTGCTGATCTCTAACTTACAAGCAAGTTCAGCACCTTGGTTAGCTCCTTTCCATTTCAGATAGAAACCTGTAGCCCAGTGGTTCTCAACCTTCCTAATGCCACGACCCTTTTAATACACTTCCTCATGTTGTGGTGACCCCCAACCATAAAATTAGTTTCGTTGCTACTTCATAACTGGCATTTTGCTGCTGTTATGAATAGTAATGTAAATATCTGTGAGAGCCGTTCAGCAGTGGAACTCTCTGCCCTGGAGCGTGGTGGAGGCTCCTTCTTTGGAAGCTTTTAAACAGAGGCTGGATGGCCATCTGTCAGGGGTGATTTGAATGCAATATTCCTGCTTCTTGGCAGAATGGGGTTGGACTGGATGGCCCATGAGGTCTCTTCCAACTCTTTGATTCTATGATCTGATATGCAGGATGTATTCTCATTCACTGGACCACTGTGGGAGTTGTAGTTGCTGGGATTTATAGTTCACCTACAATCAAAGAGCATTCTGAACTCCACCAAAAATGGAATTGACTGTCAAACCTGGCAAACAGAACTCCCATGACCAACAGAAAATCCTTGGAAGGATTTGGTGGGCATTGACCTTGAGTTTTGGAGTTGTAGTTCACCTACATCTAGAGAGCACTGCGGACTCAAACAATGATGGATCTGGACCAAACCTGGCACAGATATTCAATATGCCCAAATGCGAACACTGATGGAGTTTGGGGAAAATAGGCCTTATCATTTGGGAGTTATAGTTGCTGGGATTTATAGTTCACCTACAATTAAAGAGCATTCTGAAGCCTACCAACGATTGAATTGGGCCAAACTTCCCACACAGAACCTCCATGACCAGCAGAATATACTGTGCTTTCTGATGGTCTTCGACGATCTCTCTGACACCCCCTCGCAATCCCTTCAGGGGTCCTGACCCCCAGATTGAGAAACACTGTGTAGCTGATTTCATTGATGAGGAAGCCACCACTATAGTACTGACATTGTAGATCACTGCCAGATATTCAGCCATCTAACAAAAAGTCTTATTATTTTTTCAAATAGTTCTTTATTTCTTAACAAACAGCAGGATTCGCCTACTCAAAACATTTGCTATCAGAACAGAGGATCTCTAAAGAATCATTGCTATAAAAGGCCTAGCATATATTTGATGATTATTTATTAGTAATTTATTATCAAACACATGATTAGTAATTACTATTAATCAGGGCCAGCTAACACTTCCCTAATAAGGCACGAAGCAGTCAGGCTTTGAAGCTGCAAGGCTATCCAATGCTAATCAAGGTGGACAATTGCAACATTCACACCTGTCTCAAACAGACAAAAGTTCTTTTTCCCACCCTGGACATTCCACTTGCCGTTTCCAACAGACCTCACAACCTCTGAGGATGCGTGCCACAGATGTGGTTGAAACGTCAGGAGAAAATGCTTCTGGAACATGGCCACACAGCCCGGAAAACTCACAGCAACCCAATTAATTAACAATCAATTACTGAACCCCAATGAATTAAGCAATATGCTAATTACCGGTGAAATGAAAAATAGATGACACTCAATACCTATTTATTTATTTATTTATTTACTTTATTTGTATACCGCTCTTCTCAGCCAATTAGGCGACTCAGAGCGGTTAACAACAAGTAGCGGCAAAAATCAATGCAAACATCGTACAGCCATTTAAAAGACAATTCACACAATAATACAATAAGCAAAACCTACAAAAACATTACTAAATTGCTTCCATCTTGCAATTGGTAAATACAGGCAGGAGCAGTGAGTCAAGTTCAGTGAATTCAGTGGCTGATCCAAGTCAAAGCTAGTCTGTCTGTTTGCAGCAGACAAACCCATCCTTGAAACTATAGATCTGGAATAAGGGGACCCAGCCCTTTCTCACTCCAATTTAAAATAAAAAAAATCCAAAATCAGTATTCCCACTTTAGGTATAATAAAAATTAGTATTAAGAAAAAGGTTGCATTATGGCATATAAGAAAAGTGAAGCCAAGGAGAAAGTGTGTGGGCATGAAAAAAAGTGGTGGCTTGCCAGATTGTGACTGTTATATTTGGATCAGTTCTGGACGTTGATTGGTGTGACATACCATGCCCCTATTAAAGCAGCTCCACTGGCTGCCGACAAGTTTCTGGTCACAATTCAAAATGCAGATTGTTCACCTACAAAGCCCTACATGGTTCGGGTCCAGCCTATCATCATGACTGCATCCCTCCCTCCCTATGAACCTGTGGGGCACTAAGATCTGCTGGAGAGGCCCTCTTCTTGGTCCCACCTCCATCTCAAGGATAATTGGTGGGGATGAGGGAGAGGGCCTTCTCGGTGTTGGCTCCTCAGGTTTGGAATGTCATCCCCAGGGAAATTAGGCAAGCCCCTACACTCTTATGCTTCTGGAGGGAATTGGAAACATGGCTTTTCAAGCAGGCCTTTGATGGTGGCTAAAACATCAGCCAAAATCGATGACTAAACAAATTGTTGACTCTGACACTTTAATGTTATCTGTAACTTGACACTGCCCATTTTAATCAGCAGCTATTGCTACGTTTTATTGAGCATTTCGTTTAAATTGAATTGGGGTTTTTGTAAATTGTTTTTATGCATTTCTGTCTTATATTCATTGATATTATTATTGTTTTTATAAATGTTTATGTACTTATAGTAGTGTCTCGCTTATCTGACATAAACGGGCTGGCAGAATGTCGGAGAAACGAAAATGTCAGATAATACGGAGTCTCCTATTATTACCCATCCAACGTGGTGCTAGACACCTAGAATACTAACAACATCAGGCCTGTAGCCGGGGGGGGGGGGGGGTTTAGGGGTTCAACCCCGCCCGGAAATAATTCAGGTTAAAAAAAAGCCCGGTTTACTCATGAATTTTGAACTAGTTAACCCAATCCCCATGCTAAGTCTATGAGATGCAAAAAATTAAGAGTCCCTCCAGAACTGCAAGCATTATCTCAAGCAAATATTGAGAGGGAGGTGGGTGGGTGGGGTGGGGGGTTTTAAAAAAAGGGGAAGCAAATATTGACAATTTATTCACACTGTCATTACTTGCAGCAATAGCCGATGTAGCGAAGCAACCAAGTTGGAGGGGGGTGTTGAATGTTCTCATTAAGGAGGCCAGACTTGGTGGAGGTGGTTGACAGGGGCGGAGCTGCTGGCTATGGAAGGATGCTCTGGCCCTTGCTGTGCTCTTTGCTTCAGCGTGAGCTAGGAGGCAGGTTTGCGCCCCCCCCCCCCCCGAAATTTTCAACCTTCCCTGAAATTTTTTCTGGCTATGGCCCTGAACAACATGGACTCAAAGGGATAAGGCAAGGCAATGCCTCAGGGCTAGAGCAGCCCATAAGGAAGTGCCCAGATTCAGGAGAGGAGCATGGAAATCATAGAGGGAAGGAGAGAGGATGTTTCTGCTTCTGGTCCTGCCTCTTTTCCACCTTCTCTCCCTCCTCTTCCTCCCCCCCCCTCTCCCCCCGTCTTGCATTTTTCACTTAGTGGGAATGGAGAGAGAGTTGGGGAACACTCCTTTAATCAAAGGGGAAATGCTGGAGGAAAAGGGGGACATTGGATAAGAGCGTCGGATAAGACGGAATGTCAGATAAGTGAAGGTTGGATAAGCAAGAGTCTACTGTAATTGTATTTCATGTGTTCTTGTGACACCATTACATGCTTTTGTAAGCTACCAAGAGTTCCTTTTGGGAGATGATGGTAGGATATGGATAAAATAATAATAATAATAATAATAATAATAATAATAATAATAATAATTATTATTATTATTATTTGAAACACAACAAGATGTGTCCACAGCAGACACTCTGCTGGCTGTTGTATTGGATCAAACGGACACTTATTTATTTGTTTGTTTATTTATTTACGACATTTATATGGCGCCCTTCTCACCCCGAAGGGGACTCAGAGCGGCTTACAAGTCATAAGTACATACAACATACAACATACTACATAATACATAACTAGCATAGTACTATTACATCATTCATAACACTAGTACTACATAATATTACATTATTGCTAGGGGAGGGGTGCTGATTTCACAGGGGACAAGATGGCAATGTCCTCCCGGCTCCCCTTCTTTATTCTGGCCCCAGAGTGGAGAGGGACTGTGTGATGTATCGGTGAATAATGTGTGCAGATCCCAGTAAGGTGGCCTCTTGCAACTGGCAGATGGTAATTTTGTCAGTGCTGATTGTGTTTAAGTGCCAAGGTCTTGAGGCACTGCACCCAGTGTGCCCATCACCACTGGGAACACCTTGACTGGCTTGTACCAGAGTCTTTGCAGTTCGATCTTTAAATCCTCATATTGTGTCAGCTTTTGCAGTTGCTTTTTTCAATCTTGCTGTCACTTGGGATTGCAACATCAACAATCCACACTTTGTTTTTTGAGACGATCGTGAGGTCAAGAGTCTTGTGCTCCAAAACTCTTTGTCAGTCTGAATTTGGCAGTCCCAGAGTAGTTTGACATGTTCATTTTCTGTAACTTTTTTCAGCTTGTGATCCCACCAGTTCTTTGTTGCAGGCAGATGGTATTTGTGGCACAAGTTCCAATGAATCATCTATTATTATTATTATTAGGGCTGGGCAACCACGGAAAAATTTGTTTCTAAACTCGATTCGTTTTTTTGGGTTTTTTGCGTTTCGATATTTAAAAGAATTCCGAAATTTTTCTTTAAAAAAGTTCTATATTTA